GGGGCTCCTTGAACAACCGAGTCTGGAGAATGCTGGCTTTGGGACAACCCTGGACTATTTGAGTCGCGTGGAAGGAGGTGGCCTAATCCATATGGGTATTGAGACCCAGAATTCCGAGCATTCTGTAGCTGGGAGTTTCCGTAGTTGTAATCCTCTTGGCTGTGGGCTTGCACTGCACCCTTAGCAATGCGTCTTGGTCGACGTGATGTCTTTGGCATAGTAAGGAACCTACAACCCAAGAATTAGCCTATCTTCTGTACATGTTCAGAGGGGGCACAAACACTGATTGTATATTCTTATACACTCTGTAATTATACCATAATATATAGTAGTTTGAGAACACAGTATTGTGGTTGTACGTGTATATTTCCAAACACTCTATTACGCGTGTGTGGAGCAAATATATGTGAGCACGTGACCCAAGATGACTAACACAGTAGTATTATCCAACTCTGTATGCGGCTCTTACTATAATATAACCCCCGTATCAACAGGAGGTCTTCAAGCAACATATAGTGAATCATAATGGACTTAAGCCCAGATACAACATATACAGCTGAGGATTTTGGCAATCCAAATCGTCGGCGAAGGCGCAAGTGGCCAACTTATAGTGCAAACCTTCGAAGACATGTTGCACATCGGACTACACAAATAGGCCAGGCAGAGGCTGTACGGAGACGACACCTGCAGCTTCCTATTCCTAATAATGAAACAAGTAGCATCCAAACCTGTATAATACCTCCTCGCTAACATTAAACCAGCCAGAAGACTACTACACAATGTATGATAGTGACAGCAATAGTAGTCCTGCCTTTATCTCCAACGATCAACCGGCCAACACAGGATCTAATATGCCAATTATGGAGCCAGCTCTTCCTATACATGTTCAAAGGACGCTCTTTATTGTGACGATTATAATAGCATGGCTATGGGGGACAACAGCTCGGATAGTAACTCTGTAGAGAGTGAAAACACTCCCAAGATTCATTTTACAAGCAATGAGGTCATTGATCTATCTGCACTGAACCCTCGCTCAGCGCCAGTATCTGACTTTACAATGGCATTCGGACTCTGGTGCGATACACACCCGGGTTACCCGGCAGACTTATAAGGCTTTACTCCAAGTTTTACGACTTCTTCCAAATGAGGAGTTTCGACAGCTCCCAGAAAACCTTGCAACACTCCAAAAGTGGTGCCGTCGTCGCCTTCCTTTACTACCGCGCTCCAAAGATCAGTTGTTGATGTCCGGATGGATAAACAGCCATCAGGCAATGCAGCAACGTCCCAAAGCTATATATACTTCTTTGACCCGCGGGTTATCGCTGCCACTATACTATCATCAACACTCGGTCAGCCAATACACCAAGGAATGGCCGAGATTGTAGACAATCCATCCGAGTTTTACCATTCCCGTGCATGGGGCTCTTCAATTCGGACCTGTGGCAGCGACTTTGCCCTATATAAGGTGGAGAGCCAATATTTCCCTCAGACTTTGTCCAGTATAAGTGCAAAAGTCAGACCTGTTGTAGCTCCACCTCCAAGCATACAGGGCAGGTAGTGTTTGTTGGGCGTGATAGACGGGAACTGTCTACTACTATCAATACAGTACTCCTTCATATCAGGCCTTTATTGCATCGAACGACATACTATACCAGTCCCGTGGACTACAGGAGGAAATTAGAAAGCTGTCAACAAGTGAGCGCATTATTGACAACGAGGGTTTAGTCTGGGTCCAGCCAAACCAGGTATTACACCGTCGACCCGATATTAGCATCCAGTGGGGTGATGGTACTATACGGACACCCTGGGCAGTTACTAAGATCTTTACCAAGGCCCATGGCATCGTTGATATCCAGAAGAGTACACCAATACGTGGGGGCTAGAGATTAAGCAATACGGCCGAGAGTACCTTATGGCTACAGTTATGGCAGGAGTACTGTCACTGCCCCTCCTCATTATGTTTATTGACGATTTTGGACTATACCGCAACATGTACCGCTCAGTTACTGGAGTATATATATGATGCCAGCTGGGCTTGGTATTGAGCAGCGACAAAGGAGCATGAATAGTCATACTCTACCCTTGGGCCCCATGGTTCTCAGCTTGATGCTACAGTATCGGTCCTCCGAACATGTATAGGGGCCCTTGAGCGTGGAAGCCCAATGGTTATTAGAGGAGTAAAGACAGTAGTATGGGCCCCGTTCATTACTATTCTAGGTGATATGAAAGGGCAACAACAGTCAGCTGGTTTTCTTTCCCCAAGGGCTAACCTCTGCTGTCGGTTCTGTGATGCAAGCCTTGATACAAGGGCTGATCTCAGAAGAGATATTGCACGCCATGGTCGGTTCCACTACCAAGTACAGGACCTACGCATGCAGATGGATAAACTTACCTCAAAGTCAACTCGGTTACAATTTGGTCGCCGACATGGGTTAGCTGACCAGCCATCTGCCTTACAGTCTGTAATACCAGCACTTGATTATTATAAGCCGCCCCCCATCCAGCACACAGTGAGTTCCTTGGTATCGTTCGGAGACTATATCCAATATTATATGGGCCATTGCTAACTCCAGTTGCCCAGGTTGAGTTTACTAAACAGTTCCAGACATATACGTTCCCGCCTGGCTGGAGTCGAATCCAATCGCCAGAGAAGCACATACGGTCCTGGTCAATGAGCGAGTGTGGGAAGGCGTCAATATCGTGCCATTAATACTTCGCGGTTGGCTAAAGACTATCCATATACGGCATACGTTCCAGCTAGCCCTTGCCCGCGAATGTCCAGTGACACACCGGCCTATACATACCAGAACTGATGTAGATTTCATTGTCCGTGCCTTGGTCATATTGCACGGAGTAATTTCGTGTCCTCAACTAGCCTCACGAGTAAGGAGCGGCTAGAATTCCACAATGTCATATTGGAGGGAGAGCTAGTTTTTTATGTCTTATGAAAGCTGCAGCGAAGTCGTCAGAGAGTGTAGAAACTAGACAACCTTCTCGTAGTAGGAGAAGCCCTGCGCTGTCTATCCCTCTATACTCGAATAGTTACGTCCAAAGTGGTTCCGATACTGAGACAAGTACGGACGACCAAGGCAACAATACTCAAGATAGTTCTTGTATTCCTGGTTATGCAGGCAGACTTCCGAATTACCATATTGCGTTACATTTTAACCAAATGATGGAGGAGTACGGGGTTGTCTGGAATACAAATGTGTTCTGGGGAGAGGATAAGCACAAGTTTTTCAAGGAGGCAGTTACTCGGACAAATCATAGACGACCCGAGCGTGACTTACTTATCCAGGAGTGTATATTCTCAACGCTACGGTATACTCTGTGTGGTGCCTTCCTCCACACATGTATAGAGATCTCTGCTCAGATTATGAGGATTCGGGACAGCTGCCAGCTGTATTCGAAACCCTACTAACTGTTGCTGACAGGCGAGTATTAACATCACAGTCAGGGGTTCACCGGAATATACATTCTAACAACTTGCATATTGATGCCCGAGTACAGGGTGAGTTATCAAGCAAAGCATGCGTCCTACAGGAACTGCCTATCAAAGCTCGACAGTTTACCATACCCTTTTTAAATATGTTCGAAGGAACCCTTACTAAATATGGCTACCACTCGGTATTGTTTGGTAATACCCGTTTCCGCTGGTATGAGAAATTGACATATTCTATTATAGATAGTTCCCGACGGCGAACACTACAGCAGAATGATATAGTGCTAACTATTGACAGCACGTTTGGCAGGATAATTGGCTTGTTTACTTATGCCCCTAGTCCTGATCAAGTTGCCCCACGTCTTCATTCTTATAAATAAGTTGGTTCAGAATAGTAACTAAGATACAGTGGCTTAACCTTCCTATATTTACCCAAACCTCAGCCCGTCAAATTGTCACCCTGCCGCAACTTAAGGCAGATGAGATATATATGGTACCCTCTCCAAATAGCGAACTCTATCCAAATCAGTATATTCGTTGTACTTGGGACGTACGCTTCCAGTAGTAAGCGGATTGTCAAGCGCCCTCTATACATGTTCCATCACTTTGGTGGGGTCTATTGGCCAAATCAACCTCCGGATATCAACTCTCAACTTCTTCCTTCAACCACCACCACCAACAACAACAACAACAACAACATGTGCTGTCTGGCTGTTCTTTGGCCCTTGGAATAGCTTCGAGTAAGTGCAACTATCTATTACTTTGTTTATTTCCTTTTACATTCATCTTACTGACCAAACGAAGCTATCTACAAGCTGGTGTGAGGCCAACTGGCCAAACCTGGCCAAATATCGAAGAGCATCATTGCCAATACTCAAATTCACTCACTCCAACACCAACACACTGTGCGACCAACTTGTTTTACCTCATTTCCACACCAACAACCTCACTGGCGCTGTTTTGAAATTCACCCGGGTGAATTGAAGGTGAGAACCCTAGAATATCCCGAACATGTACAGAGGCATGGTTCTAATACCTCTAGAACAATTACTATGTCAACCACACCCCCTTCCAAACGCGCAAAGACGCATGGCATTCCTCAGAAATCCGAACCAAAGGCTCAAAAGGAGCCAAACCCATCCGGAAGCAGCTCTGCAAAGAATGAGGTAAGGTGCCCCTCTCTGAACATGTACACGGGACTAATACAGCAATAGACTTCAAGGAAGCGCGCTGCAGCCTTGCAGTATCAGGTGACAAAGTGGGCACCGGGGAACCCACTCAACGACATGTCAAGGCTGGCCGAATCGTCAGTTGCTGGATACCTTGGCTATACCGACACCATCCACTTACGCCACCTGAAATGGTCATGGCCTGTAATGAAGGGAGCAATGGTATTCGAAACCACTCTGAAGAACAAGCTACAGACCAATGCAACTTCCATATTGGAGGCTTCAATCGACGATGCTGATGCATATGAATTTGAGGCCAATATCGACACTCTTATTTCAGCTTTCGATGCTCGAACCGAAGAGGACAACGCAGATACGGAGAACACAACCCGAGCACTTACACTGCTATTTGCTGGGATTATACACCACGTTGCCAATGCCCTTGAAGATATGGACCTATTGACCCATGACGACCCTGAGCTAAAGGCGCAGTTTACCAATCTACGCGTTCATCAGTCAGGTGTGAAGGGGTTCTTTGTCCCAGCATTCGACATGAAGGCAGTGCTTGCCCCTACACTTGGCCCGCTTGTTTTACATAGCGAGCATGCCATGGAGCGGTATTCAAGAGCTTATACGTGTATTCGCTACCTACTTTATCATACTACAACGTCGAAGTTTGCTACGATCAAAGGCAAACTTACAAAGGGCACCTATTTCGAATCTGGAAGTGTACTTCAAGACAGGCTCCCATCTTGGATGGGCAGTGATACTGTGGTTGAGATTCCTGGAGCGACTTCCATCATTGGTCTTATGAACCAAGACAAGCACATCCCACTCCAGGTTACCCTCCAGTTTGTCCATGAGGAGGGAACAGACGATAATGTGGATCTTCTGCGTCATATGAATTCATACCTGAAGCGAAAGAAGATCCGATTGTTGAAGGACAGCGTTGACTACAAGCATGAGATTCGAGACTTCGAGATCGCACCCCAGTGGCGTGATCACCTACGCCATGAGCTTCTGCTCCCGCGGCTCAGATGCGACTTCAGCACCCTTACCTTGGTCTCAACTACTCTTCCTGATACAGACTGCGGCCCTGTACATGTTCCAGAGGAGGGCTCATGGATCATCTACGACAATGACAATCCTGATGTTGTTATACCATGGACTGATGTGCTCGACATCCTTCAATCTGGTACCTGTTTCCGCATCGGCTATTCCCTCAAAGTTGTTGATGCAGATGAGGATGGGCCGTATCCTTATGAGTTCGATGGGGGCCCTATCCAGGTTTGTAGCATCAACGAGAGCACAATAGCTACAGTCAATAACGCATCTACTGGAGAGACTACTACCGGAGAAGATTTTACAGCCGTTGTAGGCCCTTCGCCTCCACTCCCTCCCACTCAACATGACATAAAGGGGAAAGGCCCTGAGGTCCCAACAGGTCCACACACAGCGAAGATGATGCGCGATAAACCTGCACTATCATACTTGGAAGGGTCCTTTCAGGATCAAACCATCACGGGATCCGTGGCATGGTAACTCCTACGAAATTGTTTGGTGATTGCAACTCTGCAGAATCGCAAGCATGGCACCTTGGTGTCGACGTATCAACCCCAGCTGGCATTGAGGCATTTATCCGAAAGGTTATCGGTACTCTACGTGTTGCTAATGTTGCGCCAAAGAAGGCCCTAAACTTGGCTGGCCTGCCTTCAATTGTTCAGCAAGAGATTCAGAGTGGAATGGCTGCTGCCACTTCTACAACTCTAAATGCAGACGTAAGCATCCAACTCTGTACATGTACAGAGACACCACTAACGCTAATTGCGATATAGCTTCCAGTAACAAGCGAGGATGCAACAAGTATGGAAGACTTTTATAAGATGCAAAAGCTCTTCATGGGGGATGAGTCCCAGACAGGCCCTCCTCTCGATGCCTGCCTTATAATCGCAGACGCTCATTTCGACACATGGCATGATAAGGAGCACACTCTTGCCAAATATGTTCTACGGTCACTCCCAACAGTACAAATCCGGCCTCTTGGCCACCAGGTTACCGGGTTCTTGTGGATGATCCTCAAAGCTTACGGTTATACACACGCTCCAACAAAGGAAGGGCAACTTCAAGCCGACGAACTTCAAACAGCTCGCACATATGGCGGGGTACTTGTCGATAATATGGGCTTGGGGAAAACCTACACCTCATGTTTGTATCTCGAGTGGGTCATCCAGTTCTTTACACCAGAGACGCCAGGTAATTACAGACCGCACTTGATATTGGCGCCAGCTGGGCCGGTGATAGAGCAATGGAGGCTCGACATAACAAAGAACTTCAAGGGAATCAACCTGATCCTTGCATACGGGGACTCGCCACCAGACGGAGCTTCCTCATTACGGTGGATTTCATCCAAGGCAATGCGAAGCCACCCCCATAGTCCGAAGAAGTTTCCGGCCGGTCTCCGTTTTATATTTGACCAAAACAACCGAATGGCTGCCAAGACAGTAATCCTTACGTCTTATGACACGCTTGCCGCTCGAACACTTCAGAAACCGCGTCGACAGCCTGGCGATACTACCCAGTTTAAGCCGTCAGAATGGATTGGAAGATGGAAGGGTGTCTTTCACACCGTTATTATGGATGAAGGCCACAAAGTGCGAAATCCTCTAACTAACATCCATGTGGCAGTTGCAAGGTTGAACGCGCGGCATCATTGGTTTATTACTGGTACACCAATTCAGAATCAGAGCTCTGTAAGTCAGACCACTCCTGTACATGTACAGAGCTAGGCTAATTGATAAAAGGATATTCTTGGACCTCTCAACATTCTATGGCCTCAGATATCAAAGTCCCTCTCTTCGACAGAGGAGAGATCTACATGGGTAGATTCACTCAACGGCAATTACAAGGACTTCGAGCTCCTACTTCTGCCAGATGTACTGCACACGTCGTGGAAGAACCTCATCGCTACAGACCCTTATCGTGTCCGAACACTTATCAACAGTAAGGACAAGACAACTATAAACAAGTTGTACAGATGCTTGGAGCAATTGCTTCTCCTTCATCGGTCAACTGCAACATCAATCCCTACGGACTGCCACGGAGGACGTTTGTCGCTGAAGAATCTGATGCCGCCGTACGAAATTACCCCTGTCCAGCTCCGAATGAACTCAGCTGAAGCTGCTGAGTACCAGATGTTTCATCAGTCCTTTGTAAAGGATTACGAAGAAGGTCTTGCGCTGTGGACAGAACAGAAACAGAGCCGTATTGATCCATCGTCAGAGATCAAGAGCTTTCCTTGTGTGACTGGCCCATTGAGGAAGATGACAGTTAATGCAGTTTCGACTATGCTAAGTCGATTTCACGACACCCTGGAGAATACAACGGTACGAAAGAAGCGACTCAATGATACAGTGGCAACCATCAATATACTTCGTACACAGGGCTTTACAGGTTTACAACTGGCGCACGCTACTCTGCGAGCTGGCGATCGGTTAATCAAGGACGCTACTGACCTTCTTCGCCACCTTACCTTTGGTAGTCCGAAGCTGCGCTGGATTTTGAAGGATGTGACAGATCATTGTCTCAAACAGAAACCAGACGGAGGACGGAGCAAACTGTTGTGTTCCGAGGACATCCCAGTGTCAGCATGGTTTATCGAGACAGTTCTGAAGTCAGTATACATTCGGGCAGAGGTTCTGCATGCTGGCCTTACCGATGCCCAGCGCATTGCGCTTATTCAGGAGTTCAACAACCCCCACTCCAACCTTACGGTCTTGATTATGATGTACCAGGTCTCCTCGCAAGGCGCTAACCTGGATGGAGCATGTCATCGTGTGTGCTCGATTACCACAGCTATCAACCTGCCATCAGAGTTGCAGGTACACTATCGACCTATCAGAGTAAGTGCCCCCCTCTTACCTGGAACATGTACAGAGAAGAGGTCTAATCGTTATATAGGTGTCTCAAAAGGAAAAGGTTACAATTGTGAGGCTCTCGGTTGTGAATTCTCATGATGCCTGGCGCGAAACCAAACAGATCGACAAGAGCATTATAGATGTATTGACCAAGCTCCAATCACCTATGTCATTCCAGGCTATTGCAGACGCATTGATTAGCAGTCGGGATGAAGTGTTGGCTGCACACAATTCCAAAGAGGGCCGAAAGGCGTTGTGTGGCCGAAAGATCCTACCATTGAAGCTTCGCGCTTGGGGCGAGGTTTCTATTCCTAAGGATCCTAATTTGGTTTCACCAGAAGAGGAAGCCTTGCCAGCGGGTCGGAACATGCGAAAGCGGAAGCGTGTCCTACAAGAGCTTGAGAATACCGATGATGAAGTTGACGACCTATCTCATCAACTTGAATCTGCTGATCCAACCTATTCTCCTGCGAAATACGACACTGATAACGATTCCAACCACAGTAATGCGGTCTCTGACAACAGCGACGAGGGGGAGGGTATTACACCAGACAAATACATTTCGGACTTCAGGAAGGCCTGGGTAAAGTTGTCGCCAGAGGATAAAGCCCTTTATGATCAAGACGAACTTGACTTCCTTGTTCTCCTAAGCATGGATCCAGATCATCTATATACGGGTCAAGAGATTCAAGAGTCTCTTGACTCCGCCATCACTGAACGAGGCCTGCGACTCGTTATTGCCCACCGTTCTGGACAAACTAGGACTGGCATGAAGGTGTCACCCCACATCAAGTACAATGCTCTACTCAATCGCAACGAAGAGGATGACGGGCCGTTTTCTGCCCCAGTGTACTGCACTGCTACCGACAAGGATCGGAGTGCTGCACTCCGTCGGTTTGTAAGGGGCGAAGCTGCTACAGCAACTCCTATTACAGCGTTGGTAGAGGAGGTTGGTGCTGCAACCATTGGTGACCCTGCAGCCAGCTCTGAACATGTACAAGAGCTTGCTCTACCAGAACTGATTCTTCCGTTGGACCCTCCGGTTGTCCATACCGAAGGAAAAGTCAGTGGGGATACCACGGATATTGATACCCATCTTTCCTCTAACAGCCCTTTGAGCGCTTGCCAAACCCCTTCAGGGTCAGGATAAAGCAAACAGCAGCAGAGTACTATTGTTGTTTGGTATATGGCCATTAGTGGAGGATCAAACGGTTACGTCTGGAATTACTTCTGACAGTGTATATTAGAATACAGTAAATAGAGAAAATGGATCCGATTCTCTCCTAGAACCTCCCGAAACTGCTTCCACTGTAAACTCTATATTGTAATGATATTATAACCCTGTATTATAGCCCTAACATACGCTCATACACGCTTCTGACTATGACGAAACTATTGTGTTACAATGTCAGATCTATTTTGTTATTATATCCCCAAGTATACTGTAATTTGATTCGCTCATATATACCATTTGGTATATATGAGCTTATCTAAGATACCAATAATAGTGCTGGAATAGCTCATTGTGGAGAGGTTGTGTGGGGCAACTAGTCCTGGAATTGTGCAGGCTCTATCACTCGGCCCACATATGCCCCATACAAGATTTACTCAGCATCCTATTGGACTCTGCTAGCAGGGTCAAAAAAAAACGGCCTCCGCCGGTAAGGCACGCGCCGTTCAATTCCTACTACCGGCAACACGAACCTACCTGCCTCGCTGACACGCGCGTCGACCTTCTACAAGAGATATATGAGTGGGCTGATGGAAAAGATGGACAAGATGAGCGATGCATCTTCTGGCTGAATGGCCTGGCTGGGACGGGAAAGTCAACAATCTCCCGCACCGTCGCCCGCAGATACAATGAGCAGAAGCGTCTTGGAGCCAGCTTCTTCTTCTCAAAGGCTGGCGGAGACGTGAGCCACGCCGGCAAGTTCTTTACAAGTCTAGCGGTGCAACTTGCAAAAACTATACCTTCTCTTCAAAAGCATATCTGTGATGCTATCGTGGAGCGGAGTGATATTGCAAACCTGTCCCTCTTAGACCAGTGGCGCCAGCTTGTTCTCGGTCCCCTATCAGAGCTAACGAAATCTCACCAGTCATACGTTCTCGTTGTTGATGCGCTCGACGAATGTGAGGGTGATAACAATGTCCGGAAAATTCTAGAGCTCTTAGCTGAGGCTCGCTCACTGAAGATGGTACGACTTCGAGTCTTTCTTACCAGCAGACCCGAAATTCCAATCCGACACGGTATACACCGTATCCCACAAGCCGACCACCATGACTTCATACTCCAAAATATACCGCCGGCAATTATCAACCATGATATCTCTCTGTTCCTGGAATATACCCTAAGGAAAATCAGGCAGGATTGGAGTCTTGGAGCAGACTGGCCAGGCGAAGTGGTTCTACTTGTGGTCTCTTCATTTGGGTGGCAACAGCATGTCGGTTTATTAGTGAAGGGAGGCGATTCGCACGCAAGAGACTGGATACAATTCTCAAAAGCAGCAGTAGCACTATTACTGCGCCAGAGAAGCATCTCGACGAGATCTACCTTGCTGTCCTCAAGCAATCGATATCTTCAGAATATTCAGATGAAGAGAAAGAAGAGGTATGTGGTATGTTAAAGCATACACTTGGAAGCATAGTAGCGTTGCTCTCACCTCTTTCTACGTCTTCATTGAGTATGCTATTGCACGTTCCAAGGGAAGATGTTGACCAGTCATTTGAGGACCTTTATGCGATCCTTGATATTCCAGAGGACCCGACTCGCCCGCTCCGCTTACATCACCCATCATTTCGCGACTTCCTCCTCCGTAAAGATCGATGTGGGGATTTCTGGGTGGATGAGAAGGAGGCACACCAGATATTAGCTACTGGCTGCATACAGCTAATGTCCCAGACACTTCAGAAGGATGTCTGCGAAATGCATGCTCCTGGTAGTCAAGCTAGCCAAGTTGAGAGCACTTGGATGGAGAAATGCCTTCCTCCTGAAGTTCAATATGCATGTCTTTACTGGGTCCAGCATCTGCAAAAGGGTGATGTCCAAGTTCACAGTGGCAGGGAAGTTCATCAGTTTCTGCAGGCTCACCTACTGCACTGGCTTGAGGCACTAGGGTGGATGGGAAAGATATCAGAAGGGATCCAAGCAATATTGTCCTCAGAGGCTCACATTTCGGTATTCTATCTATCTCATTTATAAGAGTCGAATTAACTTGTCATTAGGTTGACGAAAGCCCCAATTTACAGGCATTTATTCATGATGCAAAGCGATTCGCCTTATATAACCGATCGGTGATTGAACAGGCACCCCTACAGTTATACTGTTCAGCACTTGTTTTTGCCCCCGAGAAGAGCATTGTTCGGAGACAATTCGAGAAGTTTATCCCACCTTGGATCCAAATGAAGACAAAAGTGCAGGAAGATTGGAATGCTGCACTGCAGACACTCGAGGGCCACTCGGGCTGGGTCACATCAGTCGCCTTCTCACCCGACGGCAGGCAGGTCGTCTCGGGCTCTCACGATGTGACGGTACGGCTCTGGGATGCTGCGACAGGAGCGCCACTCCAGACGCTCGGGGGCCACTCGGGCCCGGTCATGTCAGTCGCCTTTTCACCCGACGGCAGGCAGGTCGTCTCGGGGTCTGATGATGAGATGGTGCGGCTCTGGGATGCTGCGACAGGAGTGCCGCTCCAGACGCTCGAGGGCCACACCGGCCCGGTCACGTCAGTCGCCTTCTCACCTAACAGCAGGCAGGCCGTCTCGGGCTCTGACGATGGGAGGGTGCGGCTCTGGGATGCTGCGACAGGAGCGCCGCTCCAGACGCTCGAGGGCCACTCGGGCCCGGTCACGACAGTCGCCTTCTCATGGCAAGGGGTTACCAACTTTACACGTGTTCAATTATTGGCTAACGGAAGGCACGACGAATTTCCTCTGGCTATCTACTGATTATCGATTGTATGGCCGTTCGGGATAGACTGGTCATTTTAGGACATTCGTCAGGGAGATTTTCATATTTACAGATTAAACTAGGGCCACTGCTTATTATACCCAACTAGTGCATGTTACTCTAGTGAATTCAGCGTTTCTTCCCACCAACCTCCATTGCTGCGCGACAGAGGTCAAAGCTTTTAGTGTACCTCATACTGAATGGCAGCTAACTCACTTAAACCACTGTACTGCCGATAGAGGATCTTGCGGCTGTCCGCCCGAGCCGGAAGGGCCAGGATCATCGCCAACACTGAAGGACTATAAAACGGGAGAAACCAAGGCATGCTCCATCAGTGAGGTCCTTCAACATCCATATGTGGCAAGACTATCCACGAATATCGTTATCCAAGGTCCCCTCTCTCCTAGCTTCTTGGTGGTCCCAGAGCAGGAATCAAAGGACGCTGAGCCTTATAACAACAATGAATCGCACTCCGGCTGAGGTCCGTAAACTAGGGTAGCACTTCTACCTCTCGAGAATTACGACGAGCAAAACAGTATAATGAACAGCGCCCGCAGATGACGACGTATTAATGAGCCCATCTCCGGGCTCTGAGGACCAGCAACGACGCTCAAAGATAAGCTTGCGAGTCTAAGCTCCAGGTTAAAATATATGCCGCCTCTTGGTGGTTGAGTCTCCCAAAGTCTGCTGGTTCTCGATCAAGTAACAGATATCCGCATGGGAAGCAGGCTATATAAAACCCTGCTCAGCAGGGTATATATGGTATGTATCTTTTCATAAGCAAGTAGTTATCACATACGACCATAGACTCAAGAGAACTGGGCATCCCGTCCGCTCTGCCATACATAACCTTGAGATCGGTGGATTAGTAGTTGGGTGGGTGACCACCAGCGAATACCCACTGTTGTATGTTTTTGTCATTTTATATTTTACCTTCTTCTCCATTGGTGGCATGGGAGGTTTGCCGTGGCCACGCTTCTTTTTTGTCGGGAAGCATGATTTTATAACCGACCTGAACCTTGAAAGATTAAGGGTCTATCGGCACAATCTTGGAGCGTTTCCAGAAATGCATTCATACAAACACCGGTTCATGGCTAATATAGTCAAATACAGACTTGAACTCTGTATAATATCTATGCTTAGTCTCTGTCGCTAGTGATTACCTAATAAATGTCGTGACAAACAAATTATGCGATCCAAGTCTATTCGCATACGACAGCCAAACGCCAAATCTAAAAAGATCAAAACTAAAGCACCATGCCACTTTTTACTTCTAATTCTATATCATGCTTTGACCGCCGTAGAATTCCGTTGCTAAGCCACGACCCTGCCACGCCTAACCTAGGCGGCTCAAGAGCAGCTTTCATCATCTTCGAAGTGTAATCTTATAACCAACTCCACGTGACTTTTGAAATACTCCAACTTTTCGAGAACAAGTCCTTGCGACTTGCATGTTGGGTGAAAACACTCTATCTTAGCCTTCGGATCTCGTCCTTTAAGGTGAATGTTTTCAACGTGATTCATCATCGTCGCAGGGCGGCAAAATTCGCCTATCCTCTGTTCGTAGCTCTTCGATTCATCCCCGATGCAGAATGGACACTGCTTCTTGCTTAATTTAAGGGGGAAAATGGGATCAAGGGGCCCGAGCTCAGGGGACTCTTCTTTGAAGATACTTGGTGGAGGAATGCCGACGCTAAGACGGTATCGTGAGGGAACCTCACGGCATTTGCAGAGAGCCAACATGAGTTCAGCGACCTGAATGCGACGCTTGACAGCATTCTGCAGTGTGATATCTGTGACGCGAGGACAGATGAGATCGACTAACTGCGTCCTCTGTGGGATCTGATGCTTAACCACTGGCTCGATGTACTCTTCCTCGAGCTGCCCATTGTTATGCCTCTCAATGTCTTCCGTTGGGCGGCGGCGGAAATATTCATCCTGGAATTCCTGAGAGATAATGTTTCGACGCTTAGTCCTAGCACTACCGATCGCAGCAGTAAGTCGCCGAACTTCTGCCTCGATGCTCGTCCCCTGAATTCTGTACGCTCCAGCTTTCAGTTGCTCTCGCTCCTGCTCAAGTGCGGTGATAACAGGATCGGGGGAAAGCACAGCTAGGTACTCGTCAGGGACGTGAACTGGTGCGCGAGGGTCGCACATGAGGCTCATATGCATCAGCATGCGAAGGACGCCATCTACAGAGGGACGCCCGAGGCCAGCAGACTGAACATCAAACCGCACTTTCTCATTGGCGTAGTGTCCCTTATGGAGAGCAGAGTTTGCATTGTGTCGCATCACCTGGTCCCGAACAGCATCAGTAGCAGCATCTAGATAGCAAAAAAGTACATATTAGCAAGAGTGATATCCTTCTTAAGCTCCCATAAACAACTTACGATCAACGACATTGGCTGTCCCACGTCGAAAGCAGTAGCTAGTTAGCTTCTCCTTGATGCCTCATATCTTACCAAGACGGTCGAGGGGATCACGAAGCTGATTGTATGGAAGGGCCGCCTTGGAACCATATCGGCGGAATATTGGTGTCTTGAGCTTTTCCTCCTTCCAGTGGAGCTCTGTACAATTGACTGGACCATGTACCCTCTCCTCGAAGATACGTCGAGGAGTAGTTAGGCTTGGTGCGTCGAATGCGTTATCTGCGAGTGCAAGGGTTACGAAGTGCGTGATGGCACAAAAAATGGGGTCGTCGACTTCGGTAAAGAAAAATATCGTTCTGCGAACACCTGTTAGTTCGATTTTGAGAAGGTATATCTTAAAACTGTTGGTCGACTCACGGCTTTGGTCGATTATTGTGACCTTTGTGATGAGACAGTTTAACCTCCATAGCGAGCACATCTCGCACGCTATTGTTGGGATCGTGCACGACCAGTAGGCGGACATCCTCATAGCAGAGCGCATCATAGAGTCTAATGTCTCCTTCTACTCCGCCCATATCAACGTCAGCTTCGGGGTTATCGTCGTTAGAGCTGGGATTGTCGTCGTCAGAACTGGGATTATCTCTTTGTTTCCTTTTAGCATCGACTAGCTCTGCAGGCTGACACCCTGTGCTGAAGAGGAGGAGTAGTATCAACGCAAACTGAACTCGGTACCGCTCTGTAGGATATACAGATTTGTCACAGGCCCAGTGGCAGTTGAGCAAAAGTAGGAGGTCGTCCACCCCTAAGACAGGCTTCGACTTGACAGTCCTATCCGGCGGCAGCGTGTCTACGTACTACGGATATTAGCAATTTTAGATTAAGCAGCAATGGATAGAAAGCAGCATACTTTTAGGACTTCCTTTCTATCATTAGTATCCACTAGACGGCCATTCTCTTTGTTGTATAGCATTCCAAACTGTGCTCTGTATTGTGTCATCGCAGCCCTCTTCCTCACCCGGCCTTTATCGTACATATGCTGGGTGAATGATATCATGGTCCCTCTAGAGCAGTTCTTGATCGCAGAACGCCAGTCCCCCAAATGCTCATCATGACAGAACCTAGGTGAGAGTTAAGACAGCCATTCCAATGTCTCAATTTAGGCGTATTGTTCCCTTACCTTATAAACTTGCCTCTAATCACGTCAAGATTGCATTCAGTCTCAAGGGCATACTTTCGTTTGATAACAGTATTTAGGTCATCATGCTTGTTTTTAAGTCTTTGGTAGTATCCAGCTGGGCGTTGAGTCTTCGGCTTTGGTTGACGACGTTCGACATGATTTTGAAGGCGTCGAAGTAGCCATGGCAGCCACCCTTCTGGCACTTCGAGCTCCCCTCCCATCGTCTATATATATGTGTAGCCCCCATCTCCCCCATACAACCGTCACGTCTTTCAACACGACACTCTACTCCTCTGTACCTATCACTCCCACAACGACGGTGTGGCTAGGTTCATACCTTCTAGGCTTATAGGCATTAAGTTATGTGTAAAGACTGTATAAGCCACAAGTAATATCGGCGCTAGCGATGACGTCGAACAAGTAAGGCTGCTGCACAAACAGTAAGAGCAATCAACTCTAGCTCTTTAGTATCCGACATTAGGTTATATTACTATAACCTCCTTTATTTTTATACAATATAGTAGCTACGTTACAAAGATATTTTATAACAAAAGTGGTGGTCGAATAGGGGTAATTTGTAGTAGTGGCAGTCGCAAAAGGGTACATATAGGTACTTCCACTTGCATATATATTTGTATGGCAACAGAAGTACTGCGATGTATCCTTTTGCGCCTGCCAGCACCTCCCCCTACCCGCCCACTTACTACACCACTTTAGCAGCAGTTACAACTTGTGAATTGCAACATTTTGCAGCTAGCGTATTTTGGAAAGGGTTAAGGTCGCCCCGCACCATGGAAATGAGACTCCTGTTCTAGATACACGGCCATGACAACTAGTTGTCACAGCCGTACAACTCCTCATCTAGCTAGTAGTCATTGTAAGTAGTTAGAATCAAATTTTGTTTAAACGGCAAACTTCTGTATTCTACTGTAGTAACTGGTCTATATTATGGAATTCTCTTGGTCTATCGACCCCTAATTTGCTCCACTCCAAAGCCTAAGACTGCCGCCTATAGCAATGTTAGCAGCAATACCGCTCGTGGTCACTGCTTGTGGTGTTACCGCTCGTGGTGTCACCGCTACCATGAGCGGTAACACCACAAGCAGTGGTCGCACTCGCACTCAGTATCGACAACGTCGCTGCTAATGATGCAAAACCTAAGGAAAGCCTTACCTCAGCTTACTGAAACCAACAAGCTTTTGATCATCCGAATTGCCCTTAGTCGAAAAGATGCCTACGGCGCCACTGATGTTACTGACAAGAGGTTCTGGGCCAATGTGGCCTCTGAAGTGGCTCAACTAAATGACAGGCCACCACACAATACCCTAAGCCGAACAATTATCAAGCTTATAAAAGAGCGAGAGGAAGAGCTGCTAATAGAGGAATCTGGTACATAAGAGGGCCAATCTGACTAGCTTATAGCCCTTGAGGACTAGGTGGATGTTGTTTAGGAGCAGCGACAAGTGGAGGATATTTGGGCTAATTCTCGAAGCCAAGTCGACAGTGAATCTGCTAAGGCAAGGGCCTTTCGGCAAGCACAGCTATCTCTATAGACAGAGAAGAGACAGCTGCTGTCTCGTTTAGCAAGCATTGCCGCTAGCTCAGCCAACTCTGACTTGTTAGCAGCAACGCCTCCATCTTAAGTTTCTTGAAAACGCCAACGGCACATAGACTAGGATGAAGCAGAGGACAACATTGGAACTGACATCTGTCAGCTTGTTGACACTTATATAGCCTATGGTGAGTAGGGGGGTGAAGGCTTAGATGTTAGCAAACAGATCGAGGGCATAGAGATCGAGTTAGAGATCGAATTAATGGCGTTAAGGAGCGGCTTTGCAGGCTAGATTCTAGAATTAGCCAGGTTCTAGAAATCCTAGAGAATATGCAGAATAAGGAGTAAAATAGCAGGTAGCTAGACTTACCTTTGTGGATACTCCTCTATTAATAGAGGAGGTAATAAGAACCTGTTTGATATTGAATTACCCCTAATGCATGTGAAGCAATTTGATAGTAAGATAGTGACTATAAAGTATGCTGCTACTAGCTGATATCCTCCTTGTAAGGCTTTACTAAAAGAAGTATAGGTCTACAGGACCTAAGTTTGCCTAAATGCATTCTTAACAGCAATACACACAGCAGCAAGCCTTGCATTATACTCCTTCTTTTCTACAGACAGCCAGTGTCGGTCATGAGGATCCTCAAATGGACAGAGGGTTCCAAAGGTACAGGAGTAAGCTGGGTCTCTATAAACATAAAGCATTAGTGATCTAGGTGAGCTGGCCATAACCTGTCAGAGAGCCAGAGGCTTTCCACATCGCCTAGTCATTTGTTAGGCTAGTAAATGGTCCTAATAGCAATGAGACAAGTCCATTAGGTGTTACAACAGCTTGCTAGTTTAAGCCGTAAGAACGTTTATGCATAGAATATACCTAGCGCTATGCTTCTTGTCCAACAGGCTAGCAAAAGCCTCGAAAGGTGCCGTCTACAAAGCCCTAGATCCCCTTTCCTCCTCTAGCTTCCTTAACAGCAGGCGCCATCTCTTCCATCTAGCAGTATGTCAATTGTAGGTGCTACTGCAAGAGGGCTGCAAACTTTCTAGCTAAGAATACTACTGTCTTATTATAGTAGACAGCCAGGATGGACTCTGACCAAATATATCTAAAAGAGCATCCTACCAGCTAGGAAAAGATAGACGTGTAAGCACGACGGCGAGGGCTGTTTCTAGGTCGGGTGATAACATGTCGAAAAGAGATCCTATAGAGGTGGAGGAGTGGCTCAAGACGTCAAATCTTCTTAACATTAAACCATAGGAGGTGGCGGGCACGCCTAGGAGGCATTAACGCTAGACTTCATAGGTGTAAGGACAGTTCGAACCGAGGCTAACCTTCGAGTCTGCAGAAGTATCCAAAGTATAATGTGAAGACTTCGATACTCGAAGCAGTAGGACAAGGTATAGCAGTTCAGGCTCCAAAGCATATACTTTATACCACAGGGGTCAAGTGGTGAGACTAACAGGTTGGCCAAGTGGTTCGACTCGAAGTAAGGGAATGCAAAGTAAGTTGAAGCAGGAGGAATTGCAAGAAGGCTAAGTAGTGTATAATTTGCTAGCTAAAGATCAATAAGAGACATGAGCAATAAGTGCTTATATAACAGTAAAAATCCCTAGTGCCAAATAAGCGAAGACACTAATTAACTGAACCCTAGCTAAGCGAGCCCTAGTGAAGTGAGCCAATAACAAGAGAGCCTAAGCCAGTAGTCAACATTTGGGCTGATCTAGGTCAGCTAGTGAAGCGAAGTGAGCGAAGTGAGCGAAGCAGGCGAAGTGAATGACATAGTGAAATAAGTACTAGAGACTAAAGCGAATCGAAGGGTCATGACACAAATATCGAAGGAGTGTCATGACAATAGGCTAGGAATATATCCGTACTCATATGGAAGACGTCGTTGTATTTGATGGCGCCGACAACAGGAAATATGCCAGGCGGCAACAACAATAGCTAGAACAACTAGATCTTTGTCAGGGTCTGCTATTGATTGTCATAGACAGCGAACAGGATCGCCAAAAGTTTATATTGCCTTATATGGTTAACGTAACGTATGGGGTAGTCGGACATATGGGGTAGTCGGACAAAAAGTTTATTCTACTCTAGTTGACCGAGTCCTACGTGCCACACACTCCTCCAATTCCAATTCTGGGTCGCTTGAATCGTTCTCTACCTCTTCCTCTTCAACTTCCTCGTCTACTTCTTCAATTGGCCGTTTGCGTGGCCTTCCACGTGGTCTTTTCTCGGTTGACTTCAACTCTGCCTCCTGGACAATTTTCAACACTTCCTCGGTACTGAATACAAATTCGCCTTGCAACTTAATTCTCTTGCCCGTAGTTCTTTTCTTTCGTGTCTCAAGTATCTCTTTGTACTCTTTTACCTCCTTCCGAAGGATGCTGAGTTCAGCATTCTGACTTTCAACCAACCTAGTCATTCTCTTGGCATAGCGTCGAGTTGGTGAAGCAGGAGAGTCACAAGTTGCCATACTTGAATTAAATACTAAATTTGCATGCCTTAGTTTAGTTCCATCTGGAGGAGAACTTCGGAGTATTGAGAGATCCAGAGTAGTGATATTGGTTGAGTTTTGAGGAGTGCGAGGTGGTTCGGTTGGTGGAAGTGGAAGGTTAGCCAGAACTATTTCTGGGAGAAAGGGTATTAAACCTGCTGCCCTCCACCCACTTCTAATGTTTTGAGGTATAAGACCCTTCTCTCGAATACACCGGAAGATTTCAACCCAGTGGGAGCGCTGGATTCGCTTTATTCCTGCTCGAGTATACCGATCTACTTCCTGAGCATGAAATCGCTCAAGAGGTCCATACACCCCAACATCAAGTGGTTGGAGTAGATGAGAGCAATGAGGTGGTAGAATAAGAAGGTCGATGTCATTCTCAATGCACAGTGCAATCATATCGCCAGTAATGTGACTAGAATGGCCATCCATAATCAACATTCGCGGGTGATTTCCAGACTTTTTGCGTGACTCAGGCTCAAATACCTTACGCAACCACTCAAATCCATGACTGTTTGAAGTCCAGCCACTATTACTTGTTGAGAAGTGCCAGTTTGTAGGGGTGTCCTTTGGAATCCAACTTGAATTGGTATTCTTAGCCTTGAATATAATCATAGGTGGTAAAGCACCACCGTCTGCATCAATGCATTCAAGTACAGTTATCCACTCCTGCTTCCCAGCTGTGACCTTCCAATTGGATTTCAAGGTAGAATCAACAATTATTCGTGTGGATTGAGTCTCTCCAACTGCAAAACCTGTCTCCTCCATATTATAGATGTTGCATGGCTTGTACTTTCGCTCTTCAATTCGTGCTTTAAACGCGTCAAACCAAGCTGAAATCTTTATAGGAGTGGCTTCTTTATGTCGTGCAGACTCTAGTTGTCTTGAGTAGACCCCTTTAAAGTTTGGATGTCGTTTTAAGAATCTATAGATCCATTCATGGCCTATGGGGGTAGGATTGGTCCGAAGAGTGGTTTGAGAAGACGTGATTTGGACGCGTCGTACGCGAATTTCTTCAGCCATTTCCTTGATCAACATAGGAGTTGCAGGAAAACCCGTGGCAGTGAGACGTGTAATCCATCGTGCTAGTGTATTTTCTTCTGCATTTGAGAGAGCTTCTTCAATTTCGTGAGCTACAGCACGCGTTTTCTTCCCAGACATCCTATCAGCAAGAGTTGACTTAGGAACTTCGAAATGGTCTGCAGCAAGTCTAATTGATTTGAATTCCTTCAATTGGAGCGCAATGACAGCCTTTTGGATGTTGTCTTCAATCTGAGCACGACTGTATGGTTGTGGGATGTTCATGGTGGAAGGTATGAAGGTTCTGAGTTGGTAGTCGGGCATTTTTGTCCGACTACCCCGTATGTCCGACTACCCCATACGTTACGTTACTATAAACTTGAATATTTTAGCTAATACTGTATAGGAATAGCTGTGCGCCTAGTTGGCTTAGCGGAGTTGAGTTGCAATCCAAGTTGCAACTGCTGCTAAAGTGGTCTACTAAAGTAGAAAAATTAACCAAAGGCTAGTATTCTACAGAGGGAACAAAGGGCTCTACGTTATATAGGGGATTACAAAGGGAACGCCGTAGGGGGTATGGCCGGAAGGGGAGAATTACATACAATTTACTAGTAATAAATTAGCTATCTAACGACCGATCATGATCTAACTTTTCTACACCGATCAATACAGGCCAAACTGATAATATATCACCAAAACTACAACTTCCTACACCTCACCCTTTTGATATTGCCTAATTAGGAGGTACGGTAAGCACTAAACAAGGATTCTATTGCTCTAATAACTCTAGTACTGCTTGGCATCACCGGATTAGGCAGTGTCAAGCCGACGACTGTCGAACACTGCTGAATCGCTCTATTGGTTGGTATACAGCAGGCAAACAGTTACGGACACACCAGCAGTGCAGTGACATGACAGAAAGCCAGAACGTCGGATCCTCATGCAACCACCACGGACGACTGCCGAACTCATGAAAGCCACTCAACACAACTCAACACAGGAGGACAGCAGGGGCATACGAAGCAACTGGGGCATACGAAGCAACTGGGGCATACGAAGCAACTGGGGCATACGAAGCAACTGGGGCATACGAAGCAACTGGGGCATACGAAACAACTGGGGCATACAGAAACAACTGGGGCAGACAGAAACAACTGTCTCGCCCAGACCACATGGCGCTGGCGCGAAACCAGCTGGATACAGATACAGGAAAAGGACGGCAAGGGAGTGTCGGTGTTGGTGTTGAGTAACTCGAGTCCCTGCCGCTGCCGGAGAGCCTGCCATATGGTGCAGAAAAGTCGCGACGCCATCTAACCGCATGCGGTAGTTCAAACAGCCTCTCCCCCACTCCCCAGTGATAGTGTCAGGATGGGGAAATGAGGTCTTCCTGAAGCGATATGAGCTCTCCACACCGGGCCGCAGCGCAACCAATTGAAGTGGATGATGCTAAACTATAGAAATAGAGCACAGGTGTGAATGGCCTGAATGGCCTGAATGGCCTGAGCTACTCCCCAGCCCCTCCTTCTTGCCCCTACAAGTTCCAGCTCTGTGGCATCCCATCATCCATCGTTCCTGCCCCAATCGACTCCCCCCCCGCCCTCCTTGGAACCTATTACACGCCTATCGCGAACTGTTACCACGGCCAAGTCGTAGCCTCAGATGCATCGACTCGGTTTTCGCTCTTGCTCTCTTACAACTTCTTCGCCGTCACCTTCAAGTGACTCGTTTTTCCCTGTTTTTTGGTCCCTTTCTCTTCATCTCCTGGCTCATCCACTTGGATTGTCCAGGGCTGTTGGGAATTGATTGCGCCTGCCGCCCATTTCGACAATTGCAGACGCTGGGGAGCGCGGAGTTGAATGACGGTTGAAAAACACGAACGCTGAAGGTAGAAAAGGGAGGAAGAGGGCCAAACCGGTCACCGACCGCGCGAAATCGAAATCAAAATCGAAACTACAACAATAAGACGATGGCAGCTCGCGAGTCCCAGGCGGTGGAAGGGACGCGATGCCCAGCAACGGGGGATCGTAAACAGTCGTACAAACGAGGACGGCCGGGTACCCGACGATTGACCAAGTCGGCCATGCTGCTCTCGATACTCGCCACGGTGCCTACGGCTCTCGCTCAGGAGAAGTGCATTTCGCTTTCGGGCTCCAAGGCCTGCCCGGCCTTTAATCTTTCATCGGTATCAGTCACTGGCGGTGTGGCAGACTTATTGTATGTACTATTTCTGTCGGAGTGATTGCGAATTTCCCGACTGAGCTAACGTCGTTATTCTCCAGCCCATTCTTAAAGACAGTTACAGACACCGCTTCTTTCGATCAGAAATTACTTTCGCATGTGAAAACATCTTATGTACAGCAGAAGTAAGTTGGACCTTCATTCCAGCGTCTCGTCCCGCAATGTCTTACCTGAAGTATAGATATAAAACTCTCCTGGGATGCTCTAATATCGACCTTACCAATACAACTGAGCTTTACGCACGCTTTACCACTTCAGTACTGTGTAATGCGATAATACAGAACTCCAAAGACAACTGCAAACTCACCGCAGACCGGTTGGAGCCACTGTGTGCTGATGCATGCGTAAGTGACAACCCCGAATATTTAACCAACGCTTCTTATACTTACCAATTCTCCAGAGTCAACAAGCCTTAAGTGAAGGAAGGATCATTAACGATGCTAACCTGTGTACAACCTCTGGGTTTGATCCTAACCAGCAGGTGGCACAGGTCCGTGCAGATTTTATCACCTGTTCGTTGCCGGCAAATTCACTGAACAGTGGAAAATGCATTAATGGCATGGACAACGAGCCAGATAACTGTGGTTTCGGAACAAGCACAGTTGGATTGTGCGGGTACTGTGGGGCCGGTGGCCAGAATTCGACAGACACCTGCTGCTACAACTCTCGGGCGGAATCCGTGTGTGTTGGCGTTGTCCTGCCCAACATCACGAAGTCAATTACTCTGCCATCTTCATCTGCGGGATCATCGTCGACAGCTTTCACAACACCAACAACACCCCCACCAGCAGCCAATGCCTCTGGTGGTTCCAAAAAACTCTCAGGAGGTGCCATTGCGGGTATCGTCATCGGTGTAATCGCTGGTCTCGCTGTCATTATCGGCCTTGTCCTGTTTTGTCTGAGACGCAAACGAGGTGGAAGCCAGAATGGTAGCGTCTTCAACCAGCCCAGCCCGCCTCGCAAGGGTGCCAGTATGGTCCAGGCTCCAGGATCTGGCCGCTCTGGCCCTCAACCACCTGCAGGCTTTGAAGTGCTTCCAGGTGGTCGCATTGCTCGCATGTCAGCCTTGGAAGGTGGTCACTCGGAATCTCCTACTAGGGGCAGTTCTATCGTTGGTGGTAGTGCTGCTGGTGCGGCCGCAGGGTATGCTCGTGGCAGAAGACACGGTGGATCCTCATCCAGTGAGTATGGCGGGAGCCCACATTCCGACCAACGCAGAGTAGTTCTTTGCCCCCCACCTGCTGGACGCCGAAACGGGTCGCTCTCGAGCGGCTCAGCCCTTGGAGAAGACCCTACGTCTCCTATGTACGGCAGTGGAAATGAGCTGTCCTCGCCCCATGGCATTGCAAGCCAGCAGTCAGAGCAGCTGGCATTCTTCAAAGACTACTACTCTCAAGATGAGATTCATCCCGGTGATAAGGTGTCGACCCTGTGGGCGTACCAACCCCGCGCAGGCGATGAGTTCATGCTTGAGAGAGGCGACATGCTCAAGGTTGTTGGAATTTGGGATGATGGTTGGGCAACCGGTGTGATTGTGGATGAGAGGGCCGAAGAGTGGGATGCACAGAGGAATGCCCAGCGCGACAGCGGCGTCTCGAATACCTCGGGACGTGTGGACCCAGCGCCAACCGTCAACGGCGAAATCAAGGCATTCCCACTAGTCTGTGTCTGCCTGCCAGAGCACTGGAAGAAGACGATTGAGGGAGACGGATCGACTGAGACAAACTCAAGCGCTGCAGCACACCCGTAAATCTTCCCTGCGATTCTTTTTGCTCAGTTTTGCTCAGACCACGGCACGGCTTTATGACGGCGTTATATTCTGTTTAACACGGCGTTTGTTATTGTGCGTGCACCACCACCCACTCTTGCTTTCAGGCTTTTCCCACCCGACGATCATCATTCGATACTCACGTCCTCGACACCACCCTCCAGATAAAATTACCCAATTCTTTCTCCAAGTTGAAAATACAGACGCTATACGACAAGCTCGAGGCGCGAAACAACCATTCACTCCACACATTTGGCGACCGCTCAATGTCTGCCAGACACCACCTGGCATTCACGTCTCGGCCTTTATTCGACTTCTTCTTCACACCCCCTTAATGCTTAAAAACCGCGGCTATTTACCGATCCAAAGCCGTCTGGTCTCCCATTACTCATTCTAGACATTTAAGCAACAACAACCACTTATTCTTCTTTCAACAAAACACCTCTTGCCCATCCATCGGAGGCTAGCCTTGATAAAAAGACGCTACTACAATTTACAACAGACAAGGGGCGACATCTGCCTCGACAGACTCGACCCCGTTCTGTTTTTTTTACGCAAGATCAACGATCGCATTCCTTATACCCATTTTCATTTTTTAAAAACTTTTTTCTATCGTGGAGAGCGGAGCGGAGAGCAGCTTGAATGAGTTGCGAGAGAGGGGGGGGGAGGGAGTCCATTATGCCTGTTTATACCGTAAGGACTGGCGAGGCTGTTTTGTGGGACGCGAGGGGAGTGGGTGGTGTGGTAATGGAGGCTGGAATGAGTGTATACATAGAACATAGCAAATATATATCCTTTACTCGAAGTTGATGTGTGGCTTATGCTGGTAGTGACTCTTGATGGGTGAACTTAACTAACTACTTATTGGGTGCACAACAAAAAGCTTACGCTGGACACACCACAATTGAAGAGTTGCCCAATGCTGCACAGACAGTTCACGAGGCAGAGATGTGCAGAGAAACCAAATGTTTGTCTATTTATAACCAATCGGGTGTCTTGTCTACCTCTACCCTCTAAATGGCCCAGGATCCAAATGAAGAACCTCTATACCCCCAATCCGCCGTCTAAATCCAGTTTTTCGGTTGTCAATCACCCCCATTCATCGCCCATCCTTCGTCCGCTCATCTACTCTACCTCGTCCGGCCCATCTACTCTCTAAACGAGATACGAAGTGGTTGGGAGATATGAGGCGGCTATGAGGGATATTAAGCCTTCAGCGCAGCAGTGAACGCCTCAACACCTTCAGCGGAAACTTGCTTCACGCTCTTGGCGCCGGAGACGATGCTTTGGACTTGGGTGAGGATGGTGGTCCAGTCTTCGAATTCGTAGAAGGGGACGTGTTGCTTGACGCAGTAGGTTACTAGGTCTATGGGGGCGTTAGTATCTTGTTTGTTGGGAGGAAAAGGGGGAAGGGGGAAGGGGGTTAGTTGGGTTGTAGTGGTGTGTTGTGGTGGGGGGAGACATACCATGGCCCTTCTTGGCGAAGAGGAGATCAGTCTCCTTAGCGGCGGAGAGATCGGAGACTCCGTCACCGGCGTAGAACATAGTTGGTCTCTGGTCGGCGGGGAGGGCGGCGTAGGGACGGATTGTGCTGCTCTTGTCGTGACCAAAGCCGCTGATGGGGATTAGTTTCGTTTTTTCTAGGTCTGGTTGAGGTGTGTTGAGGGGTCGTGGGGGGAGGGGGGTTAAGGAATATGCAAACTTACGTCTCGTCATGGAAGACAATCTCCCATCCCTTCTCCTCATTGATGCTCTTCCCCGGACGGGCACCGACCTCATTGCTCACAATCTGCATCCAGCTACTATCCTCATCAAGCAGCTTATCCAGCAGCGCGCGAATAATAGGCGTCATACCCCCGCTCAGAATGACGATGGGAACATTATTCGCCTTCGCCCAATCGTAGAACGCGCGAAACCCGGGGTCAAGCTCAATTCGCTCAAGCAGGATGTTCGTGCACTGATCGAACGGCGTCGGGATCGAATCGAGCATCTGCTTGAAGGCGGAGCGGAAGGTGATCTCGTTGGCGAGGACCTGGCGGTTGAGGGCGAGGCGGGGGGGCTGCCCGAATCCGAGGTTGTCAGTCATGTAGTCGTTGGAGTCGCGCGAGGTGATGGTCCCGTCGAAGTCGGTGAAGAAGATGTGTCTGGGGCTGGTTGCCATGGCGGGGAGTTGCGCGGGGGTGGAGGAGCCCATGGGGGCGGTTTGGTGATGCGATGGTGGGATTGAAGTGATGGGATACAGCCTTGTCTGTGAGGGAGTGTTAGAGAAGGTGTTGCCTGAGGAGTTGGGGGGGGATAAACGTACTTGCAGCTGTTTATATAGTTCGAGGGGGGGGAAATAAACATATAAATAAGTTGGGAAGGGGGACGGGACAAATGATGAAATATTTGATATATAGTCGCGGGCAGGTGCATGATCGGCCGCGGGGTGCAAGGGTGCTACCACTTACGGAGGCGGTGAAGGGAGTGTCCTGTGGTGACGGGAAAGGTACGCAGAGGTACCCGTACACATACTAACTTGTTGTGCAAGGTACATCAGCGGCTATTCCATTGGTCTCTCCGTCCGATGTTCGATTTATTCTTCTGACTTATAGTATCTTTTCTTTAACAATACCTCACATTCCACACCTCACCTCTCATCTCGCTCTTCAATCCGTCAATCCCTCTCCCGGGCTACGCCTGGATATGCGACAACCATTGCTGAGACATGCAGCGCGCTCCATATTTCTACATTCACCACCGGCCTCAGCTTGCCCACATGCAGTCGCGCCGACCATCCAGGGACCAAGGCAAGCTCTGACTTGCATACAACGCCGCTACCTCTCCCAACAACGACGGCACTTTGCCGATGAGAAGAGAAGCACGCCCTCCGGCTCCTCCTCCAGCGAACCGATCAACCTAGGTGCCCCACCCACCGCATCTCAACAATCTCAACCGCATCCCTCTCCCTCCTCCGCCGACTCACCCACGGCTACAGACCTAAAGCAAGGAGCCGCATCTTCCTCCCCGCCCCCCCCTCCCGGACTCACGCCCAACAGTGGCGAGCTCCCCTCCGCCTCCGAGCGCCGCCGCTCCCACATCTCCAAGCGCCTCACAAACATAATGGACAACCTGCAAGGCAACATCTTCCTCGCTTCGCAGCACCTCAATGACCTCACCGGCTACTCCGGCATCGAGGCCCTAAAACGCACCATCACTGCGCACGAGCAGCACCTCGAGGCTTCGCAGGAAGACGTCCGCGTCTCGCGCCAGAACTACAAGCAGCTCGTCGCGGACCGCGCTGCTAGCCAGCGCGAGGTCACGACGCTGCTGGCGAGGAAGGATACGTGGACGCCGATTGACCTGGAGCGCTTCACGAGTCTGTATCGCAGCGATCATGGGAATGAGCATGCGGTGCAGGAGGCGACGCAGCGGTTGGCGGATGCGGAGAGGACGGCGGAGCAGGCGGGGTCGAGACTCAATGCTGCCATTTTGGCGAGGTATCATGAGGAGCAGATTTGGTCGGATAAGATTCGTAGGATGAGTACGTGGGGGACGTGGGGGTTGATGGGGGTCAATGTGTTGTTGTTCTTGGTGTTTCAGTTCGGGTTTGAGCCGTGGAGGAGGGAGAGGCTGACGAAGGGATTTGAAGATAAAGTGCTGGCGGCGCTGGAGAGGGAGAGGGAAGTCTTGAGAATTGAGGATGGAGAGGCTGGCTCTGCCGGTGGCGTAGAAGCCGTAGAGGCAAAAGAGCAGAGTCTCGAGGTGGAGTTGATAGGGGTAACTACCCCTGAGCTGGCCGCTGGGATTATAGAGACGACTGGTAGCCCCGAGGCAACCCCCCTAGAGACAGAAGGTAAGACGCCCGAATTCTCGCTGCAGTGGCGCCAACCAAATACCTGGAAAGAAGGTCTGGTTTCGCCCTGTGTAGCGCGAGTACAGAACCTCTTCAGCGAGGAGAAGGTCTCGCTGCGGAAACAAGATGTCACGCTTGTAGCATTAGAGGGCCTGGCGACGGGTGCTGCGGTGGCAGGGCTGGCCGTCATGTACATACTTCGCCCGAACTAGATGTAACTGTATATTACAATATATGAAGAATATGAATTCCATGCCGTTCTGCATATGCTGTGTCTACCCGTCGAGGCGGTGTGACCTGGGATCGGAAGTAAGACAAAGTTGACAATGGGGTGTGTATGGTACTGGCACATTGCTACTAGCAGAGTGAACTAAATACACCTATCACCACCTACGCGCTTATTACCTCATGGCCTTGCCACACGCGTATCTCACTTTGAATTCTCGCCTTCCCAGCCCACCCAGCTCCTCGGCATGACTCTCCAGATCTTGACCTCGCCACTTCTGAGATCGTCCAACTTAAAGCTCTCAAGCTTAACCTTCTTGCTTTCCCGTCCTTGTTCCCAAGCACGCACCTTCTTCTTCGGCCCATCCCACTCCGCAACCACACCGACGTGGCCTTCGCCCCTCCCGACTTCGGCCGTGTACTTGGCATGCATCGGGCCGTGTTTCCCTTGGAACTTGGCATTACGCAGGGTGATGATATCGCCCGGTCGGATCTCGTCGAATTGGGACGTCAGTGAGTTCCCGATATTGCTGTAGACCAGGGCACCATACGCTCGTGTGCCAATGGGAAGCAAGGCATCCTTGAACGGCTTTAGAAGCTCAAGGATTAGGCCAGCTGGGGTGCCGTCTGCGACAACAACTTCCTTCTTGGCGACCACAGCGTCGTGGATACGGCTACCAAAGCGCTCGTGCGCTTCTTCCAGCTGATCTTGGCGCAGGCGGGAAGGGGGTTGCTCGTGGCGCTGCTCGAATGTAGCGTCGGATGGGTTCTGAGGGTCGAACTGAACAGTGACCACAGTTTGTGAATAGTCGGGGAATAACACGTAAAGATCTTTGGTAGTCACAAACTTCCCGCCTCGTTTACTAACAGTCGACTCTTCGGCTTCATGCAGGAGATCCTTCCGCCCATGGAATGCTGGAGGGACACCACTGGGGTTGGTCCACCATAAGCTGCCTTCCGCCAAGTCCACATCGTTGGCGATAAAACCATGGTCCATTGACATTCGGTTCAAATCGGTCGATCGCCGTGTTGGTCCAGTACTTCTTTGTACATCCACAGATTGTCTTGGCGCTGCTCTATTGGTTGGAGTAAGGGCAAGCTCCCGGGGTGGTGGGGGCGGTGCGGCTCTCTCAGCCTGAGCAACGGAAGCGGTGGGTAAGATAGGGGGCGCTGCATCACGAGGAGGTGGAGGCGGAGCCCGCCCATCATGAGGAGGAGGGGCGTGTCGTGGAGGAGAAGTTGAGTACAAGTCTTCGCTGTCACCAGAAACCTTTCTAACCGTTGCGGCGCTCACTGGGACACCCGATTTGGGGGCCGTATACTTGAATGGGTCGTACTCGTCATCGTCTTCATCATAATCTCCTGAGGTCTCTTGCTTTGGTGGTGGTGGCGGTGGCGGCACGGCCCGTGGCATATCCAAAGACTGGCGAGCATGTGGCGGAGGTTGCGATGGGAGGGGCGGAGGTACACCACGAGGGGCCGCAACCGGCGGCAGTGGTGGAGGTGGCCCTGCGGGGGAACCAAAGGAAGACCTCGCCGACTCATCATCGATGCTTGACTCTCTAGCCTGCGCTTTCAATGCATCTTTATGCGGCTCTGTAGGGGCAATATCAGTGTCGTAGTCCCCCTCATATTCAGTGACCTCTTCGTCAGTCTCCTCGCGCTGAGTGGAAGTGGGCACCGGCGCAAATCTAGCATCGCCAGTTGACGCCCGGCTCAGCGAACCTGTCGGCGGCGGGGGCGGTGGAGCACGGGTCTGACCAGCACCGACAACAGGGCTGGAACCAGGAATAGGTGGAACACGACTCGCTCGTTTGTTTGCACCAGGTGTGGTAGGAGATACAGGGCTTGGTTCGTACGACCCAGCCTTCGCCGTTGACAACGCCGAAGGAATTGGTTTCTCTTCCCTTATAGGAAGGTTCGGAGCCGCCGTTAACTTGGGTGGAGCTTCACCTGTTGGTGTTTGTGCTGATACCCGGGTAGATAACTCATCGTCCGATATAGACCCAGCACTTGGAGACAACGCGGTTGCTACAGGTGCAGGGCGAGCTACACATGTCAGCATATACTATTTGCGCCCATATCAGGCAAACTTACGTTCAACAGGCACTAGCGGTGGTGCTGGCCTTCCACCGGGCACAGCCGGAGCTTTAAAACTACCGTAACTCATCGATGCTTCAACATGTTAGATAATTCACAAATAGAGGCGCAATGTACTTACATCGTTGGGGAGCAGGGCGATGTTCTGAAGGCGCTGGAGCGACAGCCCCAACAGTATCTTCGACATCCGGAATTTCTTCCGGTTCGCGTGTACTCATCACAACACCAGAAGGCATTTCTTCCGGCGTACGGACCTTGGACAAACCCGGTAAGGCCATGATCGGAACCTGAGGAGCACGAGAGCTCGTGGGGCTGCTCTCGTCATAGCCGTACTCTCCGGAAGGCCGTGCATCGCCTGAAGCAGCCTTCTTTTTCTTCGGCGCCGCACCTGCACCCGCCATAGGGATGGGCATTCCCCCGGGAGGACCAAACATGCCATGCATGCCCATGCCTCCACTCATTTTTGCCATACGAGCCCTGATTTCCTCCTTTCTGCGAACTTCAGGGTCAACCTCCTCCTCCTCTTCTTCATCTTCGCCCTGCTCTTCATCATCTTCGCCCTCCTCTCGTTCCTCTCTATCGCTCGCAACGTCCTCCTCGTCGCCTACATCAGGTTCGTGTGCTGGGAAAACAGGTCCACGAGCCGGTGGAGGTGGCGCGTGCGATTTAACAGTCGGCTTGGCATCCGAATCTTCAAGTCCAGTGTCAGGCTCCTCAGTCTCGTCGCCCGCTCCTGACATATCAGCATCGTTGCCGTCAGCCTCCAGAGCAGGAGCCGGAATAACAGGTGGTCCCTTTGATGACTTGCGTCTCTTTTGAGGTTGCTGGCGAGCAGTTTCGTCTCTGGAAGAATCGATAGATTGCCTGCCCACTGTTTCGTGGCTCTCTTGCTTCTCCAGAGGTACTTCCTCGCACTCCAGTTGCTCGCCTACGGGCTGAGAGTCGGTGCGCTTCTTTGCGGGGCGCTTCGGCTTTTCCTTCTTCTGCGCAGCATCGGTATGTCTGGAAGCTTGCTCTGCCTGTTGCTTCTGTAACAAGGCAATGCGCTCCTTGAGGCTCGTTGGCTTTGGCTGATCCTCTTCACCCTCTTGGCCAGTCGCGGTGAGTCCTGCTTTCTCCGCACTCTCCTGGTTCTCGGTTTCCCTTGCGGCAATCTCAGGGTCTTCCTCTCTCCTGTAAATCTTTGCCACGGGAGTATCGCGAGGGGGAGGGATATAGGCGTTCTTGCTCGGTGGCGGCGGGACGAACGGTTTCTTGATGAAGCTCGAGCCACCACCAAGTCCACCCAGCTTGAATGGGGCTGGTGGAGGCGCGGCAGACTTATTAAATGCGGCGATACGGTCCCTGAAAGACCCCGTTGGTTTATCCGGTTCCTCTGCAGGGGGTGATCTCCCCGCAGGTGGGGCGGCTGCTCTAGGTGCTACTTGCGCAGGAGCGGCATGTTTCTCAGCCTGTTTTGGCACGGCAAGGGCGTATGGTTCAATCTTTGGAGGTATCGTCTCTACGACTTTCTCGATTGCGACTGGAGTCTCGGCAACAATGGGCTCTGGGACAGGCTCTGGGACAGGCTCGGCAACAACCGGAGCTGGAGCCAGTTCGGGCGCCGGGCGTTGGACAGGTGCTGCTTGTTCGGCCTCCTTCTTCGGTCGCGCAGAACGGACAGGCCGCGGAGGAGCTTGCGGTTCGTATTTCTCGACGAAATTCCGGGGGAATATGCCCTCCTGTTTGACCCCCTCGGCGTCCACGTACTCCCCTGAATACCAATCGTCATCCTCCTCCTCGGTAACCGTTATAATTTGGCCATTCGGAAAGTGCAGGTCATCTTCGTGAGGGGACGTATATTCGTAGACGGCCTTGACTTTGAAGGGTGGAGCAGGCATATTTGTTGCCTTCGGATTGACCAGCTACAACGTCACCGCTTGTTTATCAACCGACAGCGAACCAGGGCTCAGGTCGGTTGGCGATGTAGCGACGCCAAGAGCAGCGCAGTGATGGGGAATAGTTCGTACTGTAGCAGTTGTGTTTCTAGGGAGAGGCTGTAGATATTGCTGCGGGCGAATCACCCATGTAGCACAGGCAGGACAAAGCTGTGGGATACGTCAGCGGCGAAGAGCGGGAGGTAATCAGGCGAGACGAACAACAAGAAAGCGGTGTCGGGGCGGAAGAGTTGTGTACAGAAGATGATAATAGACTTACCAGATAGTATAAACAATTTATTTGAGCATTCGAAACAGTTGTAGGTAGGTTTATAGGATGGTGAGAAAGAGACGGACAATGGGGAAGAGGGAGTAGTGGTGGTGATTGATTGAAGCCTTAGCCGCAGTAGAGTAACCACTAAAGTAGGTTATGGCTAAGGCGTTGTGTGGCTGGTGGCTAGAGCAATCAATACGACGACGACGACCAACTGAATTTTGGTGGGGGAGGGGTCGTGATATGATTGATTAACACCAAGCCACAGTCCGCGACCACGACCACGACCACAACAGGAGGCAAACACAACAATATCTCGACTTTGGACTGATTTCACCTACCTACCTGGATGAAGCTTTGAGATATATCTGATCCCCATACACGTATGCGTTCGTATGGTCGTCAGCCATGGCCTCCTCTTCGAAACCCGCAAAGTCAATTTTGAAGAAGAGAATCGACGATACCACTACACCCCAACAATCTAACGCGTCCATCGTTTCAGTCGACTCCCCCCTCACTGAGTCCATCGCATCAGCCAATCCTGCCCATCTCGCCACGGCTCTGTATCATGCAAACCTCATCCAGCGTCGGAAAGACCTTGAACTCGACATCCTCTACTCGACCGAGACGCTCCTCGACTACCCCACCACCAGCCTCCCCGCCACCTCTCCCTCTGCGTCTGACATCTCCACCGTCAAGCAGCTGTTACGCCCTTTCCAGCCCTCCGACTTCGACGCCCTCCTTGAAGAGCGCCGCATAAACAACCGCTGCGCTTACGTGCTCTGCCCCAACCCGTCACCACCAGGAGGCTCCAACGGCGGATACAGGCTCTTTGGCACATCGGGCAGGTCCAGCAATTTCCGCATCGTGCCAGCCTCAGAAGCAGACCGATGGTGCAGCGAGGACTGCGCGAGGAGGGCCATGTACGTCAAAGTCCAGCTCTCTGAGACGCCAGCCTGGGAACGTGATGGGGGATACGGCGGCGAGCTCGAGCTGCTCGGCGAGCGTGAAGCGCTCTCCGAAAGGCAAAGGCTCGACGAGAGGTTGGCAGACGACTTGAAGAATCTAGAGATTATCTCCGACCCGGAAGGACGAGGTGTGGAGGATAGAAGGGACTTGGCGCTGGAGAGGGGCGAGATGGCACCAGACGCTGTGATTAGAGGTGGCCTGGTGGATGTTGAGGTAAGGGAGAATGAGATAACTCGACAAGCTGTGCCCCCGAGTTTTGAAGATGAGTTCGATGATGAGGATGAACAGGTCAGGCGGAGGTTTGACGCTATGCATCTCAAACACGAAGGGTATGCTTCAAGGTAATATAAAGGCATATATAGGGTGGTTGTACAGGGAGTTGGATGGCGTTTATAGAAGGCTGGGTTCTACGGCGTTATCATGTATGAGATACCCGGAGCAAGACTCTACAGGCAATACGGAGCATTGTACACATAGTATTCATCGAATTTCAAAGACAGAATTGAGTATTCATTGTGACTGTGCTACTAGTATTCCTCTAATCTCTACAGGTTGCTAGAGCTGTCGTTCATGGGATCCTAAATGTTAAGTCTGCACACAATCACGCGTTCGTTGTCACCATTTGGGGAGAAACTCGTATCGGTCAAGGTGACGGGCTGGGACAGCATTCACGCACAGCATAGAACAAAAGAAATGGCAATCAAGCATCATCTCCTGACGGAGAATCAGCGACACCTAGTTGGAGGTCATGATCTTACATTGATCTAGTATGCATAACGTTTCCGCCAGATGCCCAGAAGCAATGCGCCATTTGCAACCGCTTATCCTCCAAACCCAAAACACACATTTAATCCTTGCGAGGAGGGCGGTCACCGAAACGGCGGGGGCCGCGCTCCGTGCTCTGCTGCTGGGAAACGGCGACGATGGAGACTGGGATGGAGTCGAACTGTTGATTGTCAGGGGGTCTGCCAGTGACAAGTTGGACAACGGGCTACTTACGCCGAGGGTCTTGAGGAGATCCTTGGTCTCCTGGTCGACCTCGAGGGTGCCGCTCTCAGAGTTCTGGGTGAAGTCGAGAGCAGAGACCTCTGGGACGTATTGATCCTTGCGCTCACGCTCCTCTTCTTGGAGCTTGAAGGAGATACCGCGGACTGGGCCACGCTGGATACGCTTCATCAAGTGGGTGGTGTATCCGGCAATCTAATTCACGTGTCAGATTATTTCCTTTGGGGTGTCAAAACAGCAATTTGTCGTACCTTGTTGCGGAGACGCTTGGAGGCGATGATGGCGATCTCATCGCAGATTCTCTTATTGGTCTCGAAGTCGAGAGTCAACTTGGGGTAGTAACGCTCAATGATGACCTTGGCGGACTTCTTCACAGTCTGTGTTGGATCATGTCAGTGTCTGTTGATTGCAATTATTCTGAGGCGCCATGAGAGAACCAACCTTAGTGCGAACGCGACCCATGATTGCGGTTGTCGATGTGAATTGTCGAGAATCTGGTTGAGGAGCTTGTCGTGTTGTCGTGAAGGTCCTCTGGAAACTTTTTGATATTTGTGGTGTCGCTTAACATAGTAGGGCAGAAAGGTCTTGGTAACGATTTTTGTAAAATGTGTTGACGCCTGAGGCCGGCAATAATCACAAGTCACATGATCAAATCGAATTCTATCAAATAGATGGTCATAACGCAATTCAAAGTTATATCTACATTTAGTCTACATATCGTGCTTCCAATAACGTACATCTCTACCCCAGTATCCTATTTCTGCTGTGGTTTGCCAGCCAAGAGAGATTCCAGTTGCTCAAACTCCGCCTTTCCGCTTCTCCTCTCATTCGACCTTGGCGTGGATTGGGACCATCGCTCACTCTCGACATCACCCGCCCTATCGCCAAATGCATTATCGGCCTCTGAACTCAATCCGTAACCCCTGGACGAAGCGCCAGATAGCTGGCGGAATATCGTCTGAGTGGCTGGTCTTCCGCCATCAACTGGGCTTTGCGCTGCTGCTGTAGAAGCTGTCCCCTCCAGGACTGCAACAGCAGCGTTCTGAGCCCCAGAGACTTGGAGATTAATGCGACCCTTGGGGTCAATGGTGGCGGATTTGGGGCTAAGGTAGACCTTGGAGCCTCCAACCTTCTCGGGTTCGATGTTAAGGAGTCCTGGGAGTCTATCCGCGTTGGTCTTTCTGCGGCCGTGGCCAAATGTCGAGGTATTGAAGTAGTCCGAAGTCGTTGGAACATCGACAACAATACCTGCCACACCGAGTTTCGGTGCAAAGCTTCCCACGGCTGCGTTCTTGGGGAGAATAACACGCCCTTGTACAGGTGCATGGTCGTGCTGAGGTCCATAGACAGGATGGTTGGTGATATGCGCACCAGTCCTCAGGTACGAGAGGCCTGCGGAGGGATGAGTCTTTGGCGGGCCGGTGTTGGCGTACGGGGAGCTGGACTTCTGGATGTAATCCTCGGCCTTCACGGTTTTCCCAAACAGTGATCCCGACGTCATGTCCGTGAACAGGCTCTCTGCGACGCTTCCGTAATCATCGTTGACTGATGGGGATGGAGGGAGGTCCAAGAAGTCTTTGATAAGTCTGAATAGCTCGGAGCGACCCTGTCTCAACGTGCGCAGATACTGTGTCATTTCCTCCTCTGTCATTTCGGTTGCCTTAAGTGGCTCGGGTGCCTCCGCCCCAGCCTCCATAGCCTTTCGCTGAGCATCCTTGGTGTCCTGGTCGGCTTTGTAGTTCTGCAGAAACTTGCGGAAAGCTGGTCTCCTCTTGGCAACATCCGTTCTCACGTATTCGTTGAACTCGCCCTCTGTTTGTCCTGCCAACCACGGCCCGTCAAATTTCCACCGGTGGTCCTTATTCGCTATGTCGCCCCCTGTTGCTGTGATATCCGTATCCGCTTCAAAGATGCCGCGTCCTGGTGTCCTGCTGGCTGGGCCGTAAGTGCCCGCAGTTGCAACTGAAGGTGCCGTTAGAGGCATGTTCAGCTCCTGCCATTTGCGGAGGGTGAGGGTGTGATCAGCCGCAGATCCAAACTCAGTGATATGATCGTAGGTATCGACAGAGCTGATGCGGATAACTGGAGTCGAGGTCTTTGTCGTGGAGCGGAGAGGCAGATTGCGCTTGAAACCCCAATCACCCTTAGAGAGGGATGACGAGGGTGTGCTGATTGAGAGATGGGTCGGGTGAGGGAGGGTAGCGCTATCTGAACCGAAGGTTGCGTTCGAAGCCATCTCCGAAGGCGGGCGCTGTATTGGCGCTGGGACCGAAAACATTCGGGATGCCCTGAGGAGGGCTCCTCCAGGGGAGACCGACCGAGATGCCATGGTGAATGATGATGTCCCAGTGCCTCGCCTCGCTCTGAGAAGACAATCCAGGCGTCTATATGCTTGAGTCCGGACAAATCCCGGGTGGCGCAATCGAGCCAGAGAACAATTCGTAGGTAGCAATAGACCAGTGTTGATGTCTGGAGTTGTCGCGAGGAATTTAGAAATTGGAAATGCGCTAGTGCGGAAGCTTCCGAGTGCTGACAAGGGGTGATGTTGAAAGGAGCTTGGAGACTCAAATAAGCACTTCACAAATTCCGGCATATAAAACAGCGATTCCCAAGTAACAATTCAAGTCTAAAAGTTCACACAATGTTTTATAAAGCACCTCGGAGCGTAGTACTATCTATGCTGAATTATTGTGTATTATTGTACAATAAATCAGTTGATATGGTGACACTCTACAAATCCGCGGCCTCACTACACGCCCTAGTATTTTCGGCGCTTCGGATTTTATAGGCATTGCGCTCGCCATTGGCTATCCAGCAGGCCAGACGCCCTCCTTCATCGCTGATGGCAACACCAATCTGTAGCAGGATATGTCCAGGCGGCAGATATCCGGTTGGTGTCAAGCCTGGCAAGTCGAGTGGCTGCAGAGCCAGGCTCTCACCCTCGAGAAGCGGAAGGGGGAGTTCAATCCTTAACCAAATCTGAGCGAAGATGAACATGTCAAACTCGGGCGTGGTCCCTTCACCCCAAGGGCCAGCGCAGAATCCCCGTGAATAATGCCCCAAGCTCAGTCACTTCCATTTCATACGATAACGTGAAAGCCTGGTTCTTAGCTTTCTTCCACATCGGCGCCGGTTTCCGGTAATAATGGCCGGGTGGCATTATTCGGCCGGTTTATCATGACCTGCGGTGGCAACCTCCAAAATCCGATCCTTGAGCCCTTTAACAATCGTAACCTGAACACCTGCATCTTCAAGCGTTTTCCTACCTAGATTCTGTCCGACGAACTTTTCTGGTTCTAGAACTCCAACGTAAACCACTTTAATGGCGCCGTTCAGCCTTAATATCCTCTCCACACACGTCCGGTTTCCACTCAATCTCTCGTTGCAAGGCTCCATCGTCGTGTACAAGACAGTGCTTTTCGGCAACACTTGACTTATCTCCTCCTCTTGGAGGCTGTGCTGTTGTGCCACTTTCATGAAGCAGCACTGTTCGGCATGTGTATTCCCTGGCAGCTCCTTCGTATAGCCCGCCGATAATATCTCATTCTTGTCTGCGTCGACGAGGACGGCTCCAACACAAAAATTTGTCGGTCCTGGAGGCGAGAGCTGGGCTTGGAGGAGTGCGTATTCCATATAGCCCTGGTGGTTGCCCGCATTGATGGCGGGGCAACGTGAATTGGACGCCATGACGGGCCAACGGAAAGGGTCAGTTTCGAAATAACGTCTGTGGTGGGGTTACAGCATAAACATCCAGCTAGAAGATGTAGATAATGGCAATTTGAAAATGATGGTTTTGAAGAGATTGTTGTTGTGTCGAGTTCCTCGTGGGGTTTATCTGGCGATGGGAAGTTCAAGCTAGGGTTTGGCCCGCGCATTGCTCCTTATCGCGTGAGACCATGTGTTCAGCCTCGCAAGGGTCCAGCCACGCCGAGAGGGATTCAGGGTCCAGCATCAACTTCTCTCATCTGGGCGACTGGCAGCACCATTTCCTCTCGTCACTCTTTCAGAACACCAGTAGTAAGTCATGCATCCAACAAGAAACATTGGAGTCCTAACCCCTCACTGTGTAGTGTAAAGATAAGATACATGCGCCAATGTCACAACGACGCTGAAACTCTTCCCCTTTCCGCCATGACCACAGCGCCGGTTCTTGCAGTCGACATATCCCATATATCACTATCACCTTCGGCGCTGTGATGCCCAGAAATATTAAAGGCAAGGCAGAGGGCCAAACCAACACAATGCTTTGCTACCTCTCGCTCTCGCCCTCCACCAAGTCGCGCATTCTTTCGCAACGGAGAAAGATTAGATATCTGGTTCTCACCATCATTTTAATCGTCCTATTTTTCACATTCCCACACCATAGTGTCTCACACGAACGCCCATCCCATGAACGTCCATCCCATGAAACCCCATCCCATGGACGCCCATCCCCCACTGCCGCCCCAACAGAGAAGCGCCAGTACAACATACAAGCCACGTTTCCATCTGAATACCCTGCCACTAAGGAATTGCGGCTACAACGGAGGGAGGAAGTTAAGGATGCGTTTGAACATGCTTGGAAGGGGTACAAGAAGCATGCATGGCTCCATGATGAGGTGATGCCTTTGTCGGGGGGGCACAAGGATCCTTTCGCCGGCTGGGCAGCGACAATAGTGGACGGGCTGGACTCTCTATACATAATGGGAATGATTGACGAATTTGAGGATGCTCTCAAGGCTCTGGAGAAGATCAACTTTTTGAAACCGAAGGCTGAGCGTGTCCCTATTTTCGAGGTTAATATTCGTTATTTGGGTGGGTTGCTTGGCGCATGGGATATCAGTGGGCACAACTACCCAATTCTCCTCAAAAAGGCGACGGAGCTGGGAGACTTCCTCTACGGCGCATTTAATACTGAAAGTGGGATCCCAGTCCCTTATTACTGGTGGGAGAGGGAGGTGGATGGACTGTTACCGGGTGACAATGGAGTGCTGGTCGCGCAGATTGCAAGCTTGAGCCTGGAGCTTATTCGACTTAGCCAAGTCACGGGAAATCCGAAGTATTTGGACGCGGTGCAAAAGATCACAGACCAGTTGGACGATATGCAGATGAAATCTTCACTGCCTGGGATGTGGCCCTCGCAAGTAGACTGCAAGGGACCCAAGTTGGCATTCTCAACCAGCTCGTATACGCTCGGCGCCTTTGCTGGTGAGTCTCAGATACCCATCTGTTGGCCGTACCTATTTTCTAACATACCCCTTAGACTCTGCCTATGAGTACCTGCCCAAAACTCATCTACTGGTTGGCTCGTCGAGTTCGTCCGAGCAATACCTCAACATGTATCGCACTGCCCTCTCGACATTTAGCAAGAACCTGTTCTTTCGACCCAAGCTCCCGGAAAACCCCGATATTCTCTTCTCGGGCACGTACAACGCCAACTCAGTAGTCACAAAACTCAATACCGAAGTCCAACACTTGGCTTGCTTCGTTGGCGGGATGGTAGGGCTTGGGTCTCGAATTAGCAACTCCGAGGATGAACTGGACATGGCTAAAAAGCTCACTGATGGATGCGTGTGGGCGTACGAGAACACACCATCGGGGATAATGCCGGAGATCTTCCACGTCGACAAATGTGACGACCCTACCGCATGCAATTGGACCAAAACAGGGAACGGCTTCCGCACCGTTGGTGATTCTTCCTACCAGCTCCGCCCGGAAGCGATAGAGTCGGTTTTTATCATGTACCGCCTTACGGCTGACCCGTCGTGGCAGGACAAGGGATGGAAGATGTTCCAGGCAATAACAAAACACACGAAGACTGATATTGCACATGCGAGGCTCAAAAATGTAATGGAAGTCAACCCAACCAAGGAAGATTCCATGGAGAGTTTCTGGCTTGCGGAGACGTTGAAATACTTCTATCTGCTGTACAGCGGGCCTGAGTTGGTGAGCTTAGACGAATATGTGTTAAATACCGAGGCGCATCCATTTAGGTATACGTAGTCTGGGATAGTTATGAACCATATCTTCATATATATAGATAATGGGCTGGCTTCAAGACAAGTAGTAGCTACGCTCTAAGCACATACAGAGCTGCTAGAAATGTGTCGTCTCCATACTGTGCTAGTGAGCAAAACCCATTTACTAGACTATACAAGGCCAATTACAGTAAAGCACCGATATAACGATGCATTTGCTGCCAGCAGAATATATCGTTATAATGATAATATCGCTATATTGATTCTTATGTAATCCAACTATCTAACGTACTTTGCACCCGTGACTCTTGATCCAATGCCTCGAGAGCGAATTCTAAACGCTCGAGGCCTCGTAAATAGTCTGATTGAAGAGCCTCTTGCTGTTCGGTAAACTCAATCAGAACCTAGAGTGCTTGACGAGCGCTCTTTACAGAATTAAAGAGCGCTCTAATTGCAGCTCTTCTTCATCATCATCTTGAGTTTGCTGAGGACCTAGATGCTCATCAATGACCTCTTGTAGAACTTCGTCCTCGCTTGGTATCCCATCTTGTATATCCCCTTCTTCGTCGCTCGGATTTGGAAAGTTAGAGATCGCCATAACGTCGTAAATATTACTAGCCTGTATAACTGGGTTGTAGAGTTCGTTAATACCTAGAGGAGCGATTGGAATCAGAAGAGCAATCGGAATGTTAACAAGCGTAGATTTTCGAAAACAGTTGTAGATTGTTGTCTTTGTAACATAATGATTCCAGCTCCGTAGAATCCATCAGACTGCAAAGTGTAGATTCATTAACGTAAGTGGATTTTGATCTTAAGTATAAGCATTGAGCCACTGTCGTCGATAATAGCATTTGAATGATTGAATAATTCCTTGATTAAGGGGCTAGAATCGACTAGTACTATTCGCAGGAAGCTAACAAATACGTATGTTTGTAGGAGGGGGGCAAAGCTCAAGAGCAGCGCTATGAGCTGAGAAGTTATCCATTATAAGAAGAACTTCTCGAGTCATTCTAATATGCTAATAGAAATCATGAAGCCATTCGCTTATAATTGTTGTATTCATCTAAGTCTTCTAGCTCGCACGCCATTGCCCTCCTATTAATGGTATATTGATATTTCGAAGTGCACGTGGCTGCTTATATCGTCAAATCATCCAAGGTAGACGATTAGTTCTAGAAGCATTAACACAAAATACAAGGCTAATTCGAGTCTTGTCCTTCTTTAATCTAGGAAGCGTTTGTGTTACAAGCCCTCGAGAGGGCATCATCTTCCAAAATAGGCCTGTCTCGTCAATATTATAAACATCCTCCTCTTTGAATTCACTAGCAATAGTTCATAGAGCCTTCATTTCCTCCTCTTGCTGTTTCTAGACAAGAGCCCCCTTTACCGTGTTTTGTATAAACCTTAATGTGATATCGTGCTTTAAATCGATGGAGCCAGCTAGTTGAAAAGTCTAGGCATAGTAGATTATCGTCATTTAGTAGTTGTTGCCAATCTCTCGGGCCTTTTCTTGTAGTATATCACTACTTGTAAAACCTCCGCGTGCGTGATTGGATTCGTTACTGCCATATAATAAGGAGTCGTTCTACCTCTAGCCACTGTCCAACTTGTAGTCGTGGTCCTATAGGTTGTATAGCTTTGTCTAGATCTTTGAAATGCGAGCTTAAAGACTTAGAAACTGTCGACTAACTAAGCTTATGGCTATAGTTCTAAGAGAACCATTCGATACATTGCTTTTGAGAAGGCTTCGGGTGTTGTTGATGTGCCCACTTACGTAGAGCATAGCGTTGCTAAATAGTTATTGCAAATCGTTTCATTTAGAAGCCTAAATAGAGCAACGTTAGCACGGATAAAGCCATATTTAGGAAAGGAAGTAGCGATATCGTGAGTATCGGTATTTGTATGGTGGTGACGTTAGGGCTAGGAAAAATATCGCAATAATGAAGTTATCGCTTAATCGAGAATCGTTATACCGGTGCTTTACTTGCACTTAAGTTAGTCATGATTATTATGATTATTTGTGCTAACCCTTGGAATACTCCAACCTTTCGAGAACAAGTCCTTGCGACTTGCATGTTGGGTGAAAACACTCTATCTTAGCCATCGGATTTCGTCCTTTGAGATACTCTGATATTTTCGAATTCGTCTGGTGTTACCAGTGACCGAGTCAAGCCCATCATCATCCAAGCAACATCATGACTAGATCATATCATAAAATCAATTTCCTAATCACTCAGCCCTCATTATTCTCCAAGTAATATCGAGCGTATATAGCAGAAAATCAATTGCCTAATCACCCAGTCATTCATGCGCGCCCCATGTCTGTGCTGTGGGGAAAACAAAACCGCAGAGCATGAATATCGATGCGATTGCTTGATAAATAGAAAGAAGAGAAATTATAGCTTTTTGGGCTCGAACATTTAACGAAAGTGCTCGTGATCGAAGAACTCTACCCTCTCAGCAAGCTTCATGAATAACAACTCTCCACGACCGGGGTCGAGTTCCCGGAAACACCACGCAAGTCACCACCCCCCCATTCGGTCCTGATTCGACAATCGTTCAACAGTCTGCATCGAATACTGGCACAGCTTGAACTGTCCGCCGCCATTATAAGAGTACTTGCTACATCCGACAGCAGATATCGGTGAGCAGCTCTGCGCGCCGTGACCGCCACCTTGCGTGTCCCCCGTATTGCCACTGCAAGCTTGAGCGGTTGGGCGACTGCCACGGGTGTTCTGTAGGCCGGATTCCAGGCACTAGCCGTAGCTCGCGAGTATATATAGGACGGGTGTCGCTCAGCAGATTGCGAGTTCATAGATCTCCTCCAATATCAAAGTTCAAGATGACTTCTATTCAGTGGGACAGCCAACAATTTTATCAACCACCACGTCCTGTGGCTATACCGCCTTCGACATTTTGGCCACCTTCGGATCCACAACCAGGTGTTGGTTCGACTCACTTTCAACCGTCTACAGCCAGTGCCCATTTTGAAGGGGTCAAGAGGGCAATTACGCATGACGCAGCCCAGATGCACATGTCATCCAGTTCGGACCACGCAGAACTGCCTCTTAATCAACGTCAACGCCAATCTCTACCAGGAACAGGAGGTATGTGTCCATGTTTCTTTATGACGGCAACAGCTGACCAAATGCAGAAAGCACGCAGTCTATTCGATACAGTGAAGATGCAGACGTCAGCGATGCAGAGACGGAGTTTCCTTCTATCGAAGAACTCCTATTACCAGATATAAATGGCAGCCTTAGCAGCGTCCGCGGAAACGTGACAGGTTCGGATAAACTGAAATGGGGTACAAGCCAGTGTGAGTAGCCGGAAGCCTCCAGTAATTGCAAAGCGCGTTGCTCATGTCTTTCAGATGAGCCTATCCTCCTGGACAGTGATTGGGCGACAGTGGAGTGCTGGACGATGCTGTGAGGGAGATCCTAGTAGATCTCTCCGGTTCTCAAGCTGCACTAAGTGATGCGACGATACAGACAACTACGACAAAGGTGAATGACGTGCTGTTGCTTGCCTCTCAAAACATGAGCAAGCTTAAGACAGACGGTCTATCCGGTTTGGGTAGTGTTCAAGAAACCAGTGCTATCTCTGTGACCGAAGGAATCCCAACGAACGAAGACAAGATCGATAAATATCAACCAAAATCAAGAAGGGATCGCAATGATAACATTTCCGCAGAGAACGACCATTTGGACAAGATCGAACTAAGCCTTGGGCTGACGCATAGCGATGATCGAGATGGAAGCACAGATGAAACTGATGGCGAAGACCATGCCAATGATAGCTCCGGTTCGGATATAGAGCACCCACAGCGTTTAAAACGGCGAAGGAGGGCAAAGAGCACGGATAGCTCTGCACAAACAAGCTTCAGCAATATGAAGGACATTACTTTTCCGACCGATGTCTTAAGCCAGAGAGGAACAGCGGCCTCTTCCGATTTCCCTCCAAAGAGTCAATATATTAATGGTGGAGATCATGTTAATGATAGCGACACCGCTGGCTCTGAGATACAAGAGCGGAGACTAAAACGGCCGAGGCGGGCAAGAAGCACGGAGAGCTCTGCACTCACGGACCCCAGCAATGTGAAAGAAGCTTCTCTTGCTATGGCCAATTCCTCTGACATCTCAACTCCGGAGACAGGAGCGACGTCGTTCGATTCCCCGCTAGAGAGTCATGAGATACCAATTCGTGGATCTCTTACACTGCAAACATTCCAGTCGGGAATAGTGTACTGCCTTAAATTTTCCCAGGAGGATAGAGCAGGCGCAAGATGTCATCAGCTGCGGCTCTAGTGGCGATAGAGAGAGGGAGCGACTGCCTTTGCGAGAACGAGTTGTGAGCAGACCTGGTAGGCATTCGACATATTCAGAAGATGACGACGAACTGTTGATACAGCTGAAAGAGAAAGACAAATTGCCATGGGACGAAATAGCAGAGTACTTTCCGGAAAGGACCAAAGGGACGTTGCAAGTGCACTACTGCACAAAACTAAAGAACCGCTCGCAGACGTCTAAGTACAAGAAACGCAAGATAACGAACTCAGCTAAAGAAAGCGGGGAAAGATATCCATCCAGGTTTTCAATGGACTTGCTCGATCCACAGCTTCGAGATGCTCTTCCTTCTTACACATCAATTCTACCAGAAACTGCCGACTCGACCGACGATGCTCACGGAAGAATACTGTCAACTACACCCGGAAACATAGAAAGCACGGAGGTTCAGCCGCTTTGTAGCAGCCAAGGAGTAGAAAGCAATCTAGTTGCCATCGACACCGCGGAAGGGAGGTGGGAGGTTGAAGCGCTCCTTGCCAAGTCAAAAGTAGGCAACGTGATTTGGTACCTCGTGAAGTGGGCAGGCTTCCGGGATGAGGATAATACGTGGCAGAAACGGGACGACATCAGTTCAGATCTCATCAATGACTTTGAGGCGAGCTATCGAGGGAACTATTTTGGCGTGCAGTTACTCAAAAAACGAGAACGGAGAGGAAATATTGAATACTTTGTTGAGTGGAAGGGTCGTCCAGCGGTTGAGAATTCTTGGGAGAAGGAAGTTACGATAAACCGCGAACGAATATTAGAGTTTGAGGCAAAATGAAGACTGTATTGTTATCCTAGACTCGGAATCCTGCCCATATCAGGAAATTTCGAGCCGACTGGGCCCTCACTTTGAGTCACTTTCAGTTTAGATCCCGCTTTAATTAACGAAAGTGAAAGATCTCATGGCTAAAACGCTCCCATCGTTGTAAATATCAAATGTGTGTCAAATATCTGCGTATCCATCCTCATCGCTTCCACAAACCTGAGCCTCTGAGCCTCCACGCCTGTAGGACATCACCTATCTCTGTTTAACCAAGTGCTGAGTCGCAATAACGTTGTTATTCTTATCTAATTCAAAGGCCGTGTAGTGCATGCGCTTGTCGAGATCACTTTGATGCTCAGATTCCCTGTGTCAAGGTTAGTTGATACTTATTAAATATGCAGAATAGCGCAAGCAGAAGGGTTCATACTTCATAGCAACTGCTGTAGTATTTTCACTAAAAACGCTTGCGTTCTCCTCCACAACGTTCACAAAGTCATCTTGGACACCCGCAGAAGGGAATCCAGAAGGGCGTGTCCACAGAGTCGTCCTATCTACAATTTGAACATCAAGTGATCTTCCATTCTTGATCACAGTCCGGATCAGGCTTGCTGAGATAAATCTTGCTGACATCGCTACTGAATATTGCAAAACCCCTTAAATGTATTGACAGGTGCTGCTGGAGTGATATTTGTTCTGTTGACTGTTTAAAACGGAGATGCAGGTGCTATTTGTACCCTCCCAGAGTAGGCATTGCCACTAAATGATAGAGCAAATTGGAATGGCCTGTAGAATGTCTTAAAATAAGGACGAATAGGACACATGGGAATCAAAGTCTACTCATAGAGTGCAAACCCCCAGCGCGAAGAGGTACTATAATTGGATCAACCTCCTTTTTTCGAACACCTAGCCCTGCAACGACTTCAATATCACTTTTATCATGGGTTGAGAACCAACCGTATCTGCATTGCATATGTACCGGTTACCGCCGAGCACTCATCATAACTCATTAGAGGGCAGTACACAGAAGTGGTAAGCAGAACTATCATCTCGCCAACAGCCTTACCTTCTCAAAGCAGTTGTAGAAAGCTGCTGAGCAATTCCCTAAGTCCATGATCGACAATCGTGGAATAGCGTGTGAGGCTTGCTGGCCGCAAGTGTCGCCGTGCGTCAAATGCCACGTTTTAACTGGACGGCTGGCATAGCCACGCCTTACACTCTTACGGGATAAAAGCCACCTTGCCTTTTCTCCCACATTGACCTTTTCCCACATTTACCTTTTCCCACATTTACCTTTTCCCACACTTACCTTTTCCTACACTTACCTTTTCCCACACTTAACTTTTCGCATATCTGAACTGTTCCCAGTCTTGCTCTTTCCCTCCTACTGCACTTTTCGACGGGTTTCATTCATTGCGCACGGCTGTACTCTTATCTTCGCATTCAGCTTCCAGGTTTCGCCATGGAAGGTGCCGACACGGAAGATGGCGCAACTAACCGTGGTCCTCGGAATTCCCTGGTTCCAAATAACATCGCTGATAGTCTACTCCGAGATGTCCTTCAACGGCGAAAGCACTACGAAGCGAACTGTCGTCACGTTGCTGGGCGCCGAGATGACGTCTACAAAGAGATTCCGATCAATCACCTCGTTCCTCTGGCGTTTCACACAACCCCTTCCCTCCTGGAGAACTTTCAAGATATTGATGGTGTTGTTCAAGCCGTTTCTGAACAGTACAGTTCTGATAAATACAAGTCTGATCTCTTCGGTGATTGGCAAAAATACTGCAAAGCCCTCAACTCTCAACAACGTGCAGTAGCTACATTTGGTATGTTGACTCGTCTTCTGCCAACTATGCTCATCTTTTCGCAGAGGGTGCAATTTTTTTTGCGGCAGAGAGCATTTCGAAGCCAAAAGAGCGAGAAGCTTGGATCTCCTCATCTCTCGATCACCTGCGTTTGTTAAAGCAGCTCAGCAGCGTCAGTGGGGACGATAAAAATGGTCAGAAACGGAAACGTGGGGCGGGTCAGGATGGCCGACCCAGCGCCCTAGATGGGCATAACCCTGCGACACGGGCAAGATCTATCGAGAAAACTGAGGTCCTGGCTGGTGTTAATCTTCAGGCGGGAAGCGTACCAAGTCTTGATTCATCCTTTTCTGAAGCAATAATTGCACCCATGTCCGACCAAAGTAGCGCGGCTGCGGAGAATGGCTACCAGGCTGAAGCAAGTAAAACGAATATAGCAATGATGGCTGAGGTAGACAAGTTGAGGAGTATTCTTGGAGACTACCTTGTTGACGGTATGAATGCGAGCCGTATGAGACATCACGAGAAGGACATACGATGGATAACTTTTACTAATACTGTGCGTTTGCATGTTGCTGATGATAAGGGTGAGGATTTCAAATTGGAGATCTGGCTGTGTCTATCAGTCGGGAAAGCTATTTCGCAGGCAAAGAAGAACTTCACTCCGTCTGAACTAGGTCGTTCCCCTCTCGCTGACAATGCGGAGAACCGACTCGAGGATGTTATCAAACCTGTTGAAGATTTGAGGAGCATACTTGGTGCCTATCTCTTTGAGGCCATGAAAGCCAGCAATTGGAGGAAGGAAGAGGAGACGGCGGGAATGTCAATAGGTACAAGCGCTGTTGATGTGTCTTTTCCCGACGGTGATGATGGCACCGATTGCAAGGTGGTTGTGATGTTGGGCTTTGGGGCAGGTGTAGATATGTTTGCAAAAATATATCCCAGACTCTAGCTAGCTCGCACCAATTTGAAGTTCATATTCATCACAACAACTGTCTGCCCTGCAGGAAGAATTTCGTTCTCTTTGTCCATGTCTGTCTTCCGCGAGGTGATTTGTCCCTGTACACCTACACCTATGTTGCCAGATCCGGTTTTCCATGCCATGGTTCTATCATAAGCAACCCCTTTGAAAGTATGATAGTCGATGGATTCGTAGTCCCCGTTGACAGTTTGTTCGGCCTGCGATTTTTGCATTAGACTAGTAAGCTTTTAGATATGGGTTGAACTTGACGTACCTCAGGCATTAGAGTAGTAAACCAATTCCCAGCTGGGTTTAAATTCCAAAGTTGATTAAATTGGAAAACAAATTTCTCTTCGGCCTCACAGTTGAGCAATACTGACAGTTATGTACAAAGGAAGAGCAGGTGTGTTTGGTGAGGCTCGAGGTGGAGGTTCAAATTTGTTGGAGTTTGTAAGGCGTTTGATGATGACTCAGCGCGGGGTACGATGTACGAAGCAGCTATTCACCTTGACGTAGAGGGTGGCTTACCCTGATTGGAAGGTGAAAAAAACGAGTCTTGAAAGTCGAATATATGTCCTGTGCCTTGATAGTATACTCAAAGCTCGATGGTGAGATGAAGAAAGTGGTGGGGCTCAGTAGTGCCCATGTGATTTGCTCAGGCGCAGTTTGGGCTTTCAATACATTCCAGGCAGCAAAGATGCGTCAAGTATGAACGAATTAATAATGCTTCGGTGTGTAAGTTTCGAGAACTTAATTATGTGGAGCCATACATTGCACCCTGTAGCAAACTACAAAAGTTCCATGAACGATTCCATCGGTCGCAAAGTCCACGGTGAGTAGGACTGCGGTATCTCTTCTCGCGAACCGCGCTAATGGTGGGGTCACACGTGGAAGCAAATCGAAGGTGGAGGAAGAATCTTGGATATGATTCAGGCCCCAGTGCATTTAGGCCGCTGCGCGAACGCTTCAAGCCTGCAGCTTGATTTGTGTTTGACTGTCTGTCGCGTCACAGGTCGACGAAGCCATCGTGGAAGCTGTGTTCGAGTGGGATGTGAAGTAGATTGGATGGGGATCCTTCCCGACCAGTTTTCTTCTGGGTGACTTGATGCTGAATTGAGCCAAATCAAATCCTCCAATCACCCTATACGCCTACTGCCAGTCGCGAAGCTTTCGCGCTTGAAAAGAGTGGAGAAAGTACCCCGGCAACACTATCCCCAAGGTCACAGGTTGTAATCAGAAGTGGTCATGGTCTGGTGCGCCTGATCTTGACGATATGTATATGGCCATAATCTCTGCTAGACAGTTAACTAACCAGGAGGCAAAGATTGGTTAGTCAACTCTACGAGTTCCAGCTACAAATAGATGATATTTCTACGCCAGTATGTTGCGCCGAGCCTATCACGAGAGCATCACAATATCATTTGACAGCATTTTCTCCAGACAGCGATACAACGAATGTCAAGAACTACTCAGAGTCCACTTGTATTCTACACGAGATATTTGAGCTGGCGAACGCTAATGGTGAGGGGCTACCTGATTCCATTTAGCCCTCAACATCGGCAAACCACCTGTGCGCCAGCGCTTCACGAGCAGTAATCCTCTTAGCAGGATCAAAATTTGTCATTGCCCCAACTAGATCCAGAAAGTCCTCATCGAAGCCCGGCTTCTCAACCTTCCAGAGGCGAAAAGGCTTGCGTCGGTTCTGCTCGTTAAATCCGCTGCGGACCACCGTGAAAATCTCGCACCACGGGCTCTCGGGGCCGAGGTAACGCAACAGCGCATCGAATGTGTCAGGTTCAGCAAAGTAAGAAATTTGACGCTCCAGAATGATAGAAAGAGGCTCCATCTCAGGCTCTTCTATCTCTTTGGCGGAGGGGGCAAAGATGACGGTCCGGGAGAGTACGTATATACACTAATAGGAAATATTAGTCTTATAACACTATACACTTGAGGGCGATGCGGAGGGAATGGCCGCAGCAAACCTACAACTATACCATAAGAAAACATGTCAGAGGGTGAATTCACGGGACCTTGGGCATGAGCCTCAGGGCTGCGCCAGAGCTGATTGCCAACCTGAGATCCCACGATGTCACTACCAGGAGGTACATACGCAGCATCTTCGAGATCAGCAAGCTGAACACTCTTTACAACGATGTTTTCATCACCGTTCGTATAGTTAACTAAAATATTGTTTGCTTTGACATCTGTTCAGGGTCAGTGCCATTACTGTAAGCGGAATTACTCATGGTAGAGGACGTGCCCGCATGAACGATATTCTTGTCATGCAATGCTGCAAGACCACGAAGAGCATCCCGCAGGATCCGTTTCCTTGCAGCGAGTGGTATTTCCTTCTGGGCGAGGCTGAGCAAGTGGTCGGTGGCATAGTCGTATATGAGGATCGATTGCTCGGGGATACTGTCGCGCATGAGTCGGAGATAAGAGCTGCGCTCGTGCGCAATGAGATCTCTCTGCATATCGCAGGCTGGCTCAAACATCGAGGGGGGGACCTCCTTGAAGACAAACTTGTGTCCGTCATCTCTGCTGTGTTTCAAGAACGAAATAAGCCTGCTGAATGAATGGGGACAGGTAGCTAATGAAATGCTCAATCACGTACGAGGCAAGATAGACTTTCTCCGGTCTATTGTCTTTCTCTTGAAGCACGCACTTAATGGTATACTGACGACCAGACTCGCCAGCCAGCCTTGAGCCTACAACTGGCTTATTTATCTTGTTTTGTGCAGGTGCAGGCATTGAATGGTGAGATTGCATCGTACTTTGCGACCGTACAGGTCCGGTTGAAAGGCACGACGCGATGACGTGAGGGAGCGGCCGAAACCTTGGAAGCTGGGTTGCTCGGCGGCGTATTGCATTGAGAGTTATATGGCTTTTAAAGAGTAGTGATGAGGTCTGGAGGAAGAATTGGACGTTATAAAGTCTAACTCCAGGCATTACTACAGATGATGGGCAGGTTGTTGGTAAAACGATTTTCAAAAATATGCACATAGTATTAAGCAAGGTTGGTCGCTAAGCTACGCGGAATGGAAATCGCGCTTGGCGCCTTCCGTGACCGCCCGTGCAAATGATGCCAGTGTGGGAAAAGGTAAGTGTGGGAAAAAGGTAAACGTGGGGAAAGGTAAGTGTGGGAAAAGGTCAATGTGGGAGAAAAGGCAAGGTGGCTTTTATCCCGTAAGAGCGTAAAGGCGTGGCTATGCCAGCTGTCCAGTTAAAACGTGGCATTTGACGCACTGCGACGCTGCGCTCACGCAGGCCTAACACGCTACTCTACGTTTGTAGATCACGTCCTAGGAATTGCTTAGTAATAGAAGTTAAGTAATATCGAGTTGACTTTGACGTACGAAGCGCTTGCGCGGTAATTAGGCTGCGCACTGGGTACTCACGAGTCGAGTAGTAGAATTTTTACTCACCCAGCTGAGTTACTCACTCATGTCCCGAGTATTGTTGAATGAGGATTACTCACTTGCTGAGTACCTAGTATGGGTCTTGGCAACTCAGTTATATCACGTGTTTGATTAGCCATTACTTATGTTAAAAACGGGGTGCGACTTCATTGATCAAGACGCCATAACTCCAACTCCATTCCCATATTGTTGATGTCCTATTCCACACTATAACCTTTGGCCTTTAGGTACCAGGTTACCAGATGGTTGCCAGAACTCATCTGACCTTCATTCCTGGGTGAGAGACATTTCCATCGATTAAGCCCACAGCTTAAACATCATATCCTGCAAACGCCGAACCAATATCATACCCTTTGCCTGAATTGTCACTCTCTTCGCATGAATAGCGAGGAGGTTTGTCACTATAACTGTTAGTATGTCCCTGTCACTATGTTTAAACATCATACTCTCAAATTCTCGAATGAGGAAGCATTCAGCAGCTTCCTAAAGAGCTAGGATAGCAGATTGCTGGAAGCGAAGATTGGACTTGAAGTCTTCTGTGATTTCCCTAACAAGACGCTGGAATGGGAGCTAGTATCAAGTTGCTGTCTTCTGATATCGCGGAGAGCCTTGGTGCCTATATGTTTATTAGAGAGTTCTGGTAATCCTCTGGTAATCCTCTGGTAATCCTCTTACTAGACTTTGTGCAGCGCGTGGCCTTCTGAGCATGATTGTTGCTAGCTTGAGATGAGCAAACTGGAGCTTTTCTTGCTGTGCCCACAGCCTTTTCCTGTCCCTTTCCGCCAAGCCCAGAGCCAGCCCGTAATCCAAGTGGCATCCTTGGTGCTATGCCGCCAGTTGATCTCCTAGCAGTTTGCTTGGTACGAGTCATTTGCTAATATCAAGGTGAGTTAGTAAAGTAAACACAAGATAAAGAAGTAGATCAAAAGATATGTGTACTTACAGTGAGTTTGTAGAAAGAATATTGCAGAAGAAGAGTATAGTAAAGAGGTAGAGGTTGAAAGGTATGTGTTTTATATGAAGGTGCGCATTGTGGTGTTGTTTTTGGAACAGTAATTCTTTGTAGGTGAATATTCCTTCACAAATATTTTTGTTTGCAACTTTAAAATAATCATGACCTTAGAACCACCTTCCTTGGTTACTCTCCGATCTACACATTCTTCTTCCCTTTTGAGCCTTTACCTCTTCTCTAGGACTTCAACTAAGTTTATTATCTTGATTCTATAGCCAGAACTTCTGGAGATCTCTGCTAATCACGTGTTTAGTTAGTATGGCGAAACTCAAGGCACATGAAGAACTCTCCACTAATGCGAATACTATCAAAGCTCGCAACTGCGTCTCCAACCTTACTGAAGATGAGAAGGCTGTTCACTTAGCACTCAAGGCTGACCATGCTGATCTGAGCTACTACTTAAAGAAGTTATATAAGTCTGCAAAGTGTAAGGATGCCTCCTTACCTAGATACTCGAAGAACCCGCCTCAGAGCTGTTACGGTCACCACAAGCATGAAATCCGACTTGGTGTGGTTTCGGACCAGTAGAGGAGGACATAGCGAGTTACACTATAGTGGGGGACGGTAAGGGTGTAGGGTTCAGGGTCGATGCGGACCTGTTGCGGTGGAAGGTTCAGGGCTAGGGTTGGGATAACCGAGTCGGGCCCGTTTCGGGTACTTAAGGAAACAAACTTAACAGGGTTCCCCCTTCATCTTTTTTGTATCCTTCGTAGTAGACCTATAGGATAGCATCCTTTTAGCCTCCAACTCGCACTCTCATATGCTATTACTGTGAGCTGGGTGCCCTGTGTCATTACACAAAGTATATCGCTGCCTCTACTGAAGACAAGACACGTCTACAGAATGAATTGAAGGTTGAGCGTATTTGTGTTCGGTAAGTCCCTTCTGGTAATCTCTGGTAGCCTCAATCTAACTATAAACAGGACTGAGAAGGGTACCCATGCATCTTGCATTGCGAATCAGAAAGTCAAGAATATTAGCGCCTCTTCTTCTCCACAAGCCCCACCATCTACTCCGCCCAAACAACTTCTGTCTGAGCTTGCTGCATTTGAGGGTATCTCAAGTATTCCAATCGATGACAATCATAACAGCGAATGGGAGGATACTGAGGTTGAAGACGATTTGGAGTTGGAGCTTATGTTACAGCGCGAGATATTTTAAATGACGAGGCTGTTCTACCAGATGAGCTTTCCGATGAAGAGATCACTAGCACCCAGGCTCTTTTAACTCAAGCGCACATTGATGTATACTACCTCATAATTGTCATACTGACATTCGTTGCACTCAGTTTGCTATCAAACTCAAGAGCAAACTTGGAAATCTCCTCCTCAAACCTACAAGTCACTATACATATTTTGGCTTATCACACCAACAACAAGAGCAATACTACTCAACGATTGCTACAACCATCTATGATTCATTACACGTCATCGCTCCTTAGTTACTGGGCCGATATTACCACATAGCATATCTCTACAACCCTCTATGATTCATTACATGACATCACTCATACTACCACATGACATATCTCTACCAACTAGAGGCCTAGGAGCATGAACGATAGCTCTAAAAGCTCCTACGAACCTCTATGATTCATTACATGTCATCGCTCTTTAGTTACCCACAAGATTGGTTAAGTTATGACATAATTTGTCTATGACATAATTTGTCTATGACATAATTTGTCTATAGGGGTACTCTGACCTTGGACCTCCTTTTACTTCCTATAGGCTACGAACCTAAGAGATGGTTCTATGGGATTCTCTTACGTCGACTACAGTTACCAAGCCTGGTAAGTCATGGAAAGTCTTGGAAAATGAGAGAACTACACTCCTTTAGCATAAATAGGATTGCCCTTTCCTTAAGAAAGGGCAAGCAGACAATACAGTAAATTGACTATCACATACTTCCACGTCTTTTCCAAGCTTCCAAGCATTCATCTTGTTACTCCTTGTTTCTGAAAAGTCAGTGAGGTGTTAACCTCTGACTTACCCCTGAGTTCCCAGACTCAACATTTGTTGCAACTTGTCTGAACCACTTCACTACATCACACACCTGATTGCTGCGTTGTGGAATAGTCTAAGCTACAACCCTTTGGCTCTGTTTTCTAAGACAGTGTGTTGTCTTAGTAAATTCATCCCTTCCTTGGGTGGCTAGATTCTCACATCTGGTGCACCCACCATTACAATAATCTGGTAATCTTCTGGTGATACTAATAGTTGATAGGCCCATGAAGAGTCCAATTTCCGCAAGTGGCAACATTTCTGGGATAGCTGTATCCACTCATATACGAGAAAGGCTGGAAAGCTGAGAAAGAAGCCTGAGCGTCTCTTTGAGTATATGCCGTGGATTGATGTAGAGGAAGGGTACGTCTCTGATCATCCTAGCAATCTTCTGGCAATACTAATTGTTTATTATAGCACTTTTCACGAGGTTATCCCACCACATAAATATTTCTGTTTGTACGAGCAGGCAGTTTGGAAAGTGGGCCTAATTACCAGGACCTGTGCAGTGGTATCCAAAGTCTTACAATCTTGTCGACAATGGATGGTTGCAAATATCCACTCATAGTTCTAGCTTCAAAGAGGCGTTCTTACTTGTCTACTCTAAGAAGTTTGATAAGGAAAAGTGGGCTAAGGTATCAGCTGCACAGGATATGTTGTTCCTGGAGCTAGAGTAGAGGAGAACTTGAGTTGCTAAAGTTATAGCGCTGGAGTACCTTTCGCGTTGGAAAACCAGGTATTTAAGTACTTCATCGTAGCCAGACTTCTGGTAACCTTCTGATAATCGAGCAATTTGCCAAATGCCATCTCAATACTCAGAGTTGTTTGATTCTGACAGTATTCTCAGACTCTTTTCCGTCTTCTCAACGACTATCCTCATTAAATCAAGTCTGTAAGGACACAGGGCACCCAGCTCACAGTAATAGCATATGAGAGTGCGAGTCAGAGGCTAAACGGATGCTATCCTATAGGTCTACTACGAAGGATACAAAAAAGATGAAGAGAGGAACCCCCGTTGGGTCAATCTCCTTAAGTACCCGAAACGGGTCCGACTCAGCTAACCTGCCTTAACTCTTATCATGTGACCGTAACCTGCCCGACTCAGATCCTTTCCATCACTGAGGGACAGGCATCCTTACAAAGTCCCTGCAGGCCTTGAATATATTGGCAAGTTAAACCAATTCGTCAAATGGACTAAGGATACACACGATATATTCATTGAGTGGTGGAAGCTATCACGATGGTATGAACAACACTCAGATCATACTACAAAACTCCTTATGAAGATTGCATGGGATTCAACCAACTGGAGTTCTCAATACTGGAGAAGTTATCACCAAGGAGCAGACTGGCTTTCTGGAGAACCATGTGTTATTTGTACTTATTGTTCGAAGGCCCTTACGCATCCTGCAATCAAGTCTGCTGGCCCAAAGTCTATGGCAACACATCTTGCATCAGACATTTGCAAAAAGAAGTCACAGATGGGAAGGATAGTCTCTATCAAATGCGAATCAATCAAATGCAACCTCAACAAGTAAGGATTACCAGATTATTACCAGAATTATGTAGGTTAATACCTATAATAAGATCATATTCTCACACAAGAGACATTTTATGAACAAGTTCTATACACAGTTATCTTGACTCATAGCTCGTTCCGCTCAGTCGAGGATCCTCATCAAGACCCTATAAATACTTTAGGTATTAGTAGGTCTGGCCGGCCTCATCAAGCAAGGTGGAGGGATGTTCTTAAGCATATATAATAGATAATAGCGTTCTAATAATCTTCTGATAATCATGGTACTTAGATAGAGGAATATACATGATTCGTTCTCACAGCTTACTAGAGATGGCGAGAGTGATGCTAATAGATGTAATACTTTAACTTAACCATAAAACAGTATTAATCGTATGAGGGACTGTTCACATGATGCATAAATCTTACACGTGATAGCCGAGTACTCACCGGGTTTTTACAGAGTAACTGAGTATTGACCTCACTCACCGAGTCGAGTAAAAGGTTCAGCTACTCACCCAGCTGAGTAACCCACTGAGCGAGTGAGCCGAGTATTGAGCGAGTAGTGCGCAGCCTAGCCGGAATACTGTAGTCTTTTTGGCTCAGTGGGATGTAGCGCGAGCGTAACCGTACATCATTACACTTCCGCGCCGTGATACCAATTCCCTCTGAGTCCTTATTAAGTGTATTCACTATAATAATTAGCTAAATGCATCAAAGCACGAGATATTTGAAAACTAACGATGAAGCGAGAGAATGGCCATATGGCAGGCTGACTCTATTTTTCTTTTGCAGTCTAGTTAATGTCAGTGAATTATTATAACTAAAGCGACAATTTAAACTTGCCTTCGTAGCTGTAACGGGGTGCCAACCGTTACAGTGCGTTGTATATATAGCGTGTTACGCGTATTCCACCGAGCTGGAATACTATAGTCTTTTTGGCTCAGTGGAATGTAGCGCGAGCGTAACCGTACATCGTTACAGTAGCACATCAATCATCGCTGTCACCGTTTTCAGCTTTAGCGATCTCTTGTGTAAAATCTCCAACCCGGTTGTGTTCCTGAAGGAAGGCATCTCTTAGTTGGATCTGGGGGCTCATCGTTTCTCCGAAAAGGGCAGCAGCCTTTAACTCGTAGTCGACAGCTTCAGTGACACGATGTCTAATGCCTGCAAGACGGATTGCATTTGCGCGGTTGCATAGCTGAAGGACAGTGCTTCTTTTTTCTTGAATTCCAGTAGACAGCTCACATAGCTTTTGCTTGAAGTCTAGAAGCTCACGTTCCATAACCTCTAATCTGCGTTCTGGGTAGTTAGTACGATATTGTTTATGTAAATAGATGCAAACTTTCGACATAGCTGTAGAATTTCGTCCTTGGACAAAGTAGTCGCCACGTGTTGGCATCTGTTATCTGCCATTTCATATGCTTGATGTAGAGATTTGAATTGCAATGGTGTTGCAGATGCCTAATAAGATTGGTAGGACTAGCGTAAATGGGGGATAGATGAGCTGGGGGAGGAAGTTAAATTCGAAAGTACAGATAATAGCTTATAGAATTAAATGTGGTAAGTTACCATTTAGCAAACATATGAATGTGGATAAGTACTAAATTTATTTTTGTGCATGTATAATGAATCTAACAAAGCAGATAAAGCTCGAGACAATTCTATAAACGAGATGAACATTCTCTCATAAATAAAAGATGGCAAACTGCTGAGAACATAAAAAGCCACAAAAGAGACAAGAAACAAACCATAACCATATCAATTTTAGGCCTTCCACAAAGCTTCTAAATCCGTCTCAATACCCATCAACTTAGCTAGTCGCCCATCTTTGTTCTCGCCCATCATTGTCAAAACCGCGCTGAACAGCTCGGCAAACTTGTCAGCTTGCTCATCGTTCAAGGCCGTGCTATCCCATTGAAGCTTAAACCGGTGACCCTTTGCAGTCTTCTGGACCTCTACCATCAAGGCATAGTTAATGGTCATGAAGACTTTGCTCTGAGCCATGACGATCCACCTCATAGGATCAGGTTTGGCCGTCGCAGGAGCAGGCTCAAATGGCTGAAAGCAATAGAGCAGCTTTGCAGAGTGCACCTGCCTATCTCTATTCAACGTCTTATACACGTCATTAAGACCAACTGCGCCATGCTCAGTCGTGTCCCAGAACTGTGCCTGCGTGTCCTTCAGGAACTTGGCGATCGACTCCTTGCTGGACAGCTTCGAACGGAAGGGCAGGAAGTTAGCACATGCACCATTCAAGGTTTGTGGGTTCTCAACGTCTGCGTTGCGGCCAGTGAGAAGGTTGTCCACCAGTACGTCGTTGCCTCCGGTCAGCTTGCCCGCAACAATTGAATAGGCAGCTTGGAAGACGGTTGAGGCTGTGACGCCAAAGGCAGCTGCAGTGGTATCTACGTCTGCGTTCACCACGGCAAACTTCAATCGATCTGAAATAGGCTGAAGTGGTAGGTTGTGGCCGGGAGTGTATGAATGGAGAGAACGCTTCCAGTATCGCAGTGCCTCGATTCGATCGACACCATGTGCCCAGTCAATGAATTTCTTAAATGAGTTGACAGGAGGGATATTAGTGTCGCCACGAGCGATGGCCCTGAATTGGTCGTCGAAAATTCGGAGGAGAGTTCCGTCATATGAGCTGTGATCTACCTTGATGCAGAGTGTCCTCGTGCCGTCTGTTAGAGACTGGAGGAGCCTATACTTGATATTGGGCCTGCCAAAGGTAAAGAGCCCGTCCCGCAGGCCCTCCATGTGCCCCAGCTTCTCTGCATCAGTTGCGTAGAAGATGTGTTCGAAGCCCATTACCGGCTCTCTGACGATGATCTATAATACTGTTAGATGATGCTGTCAATTTTTCATAGTTATTGTGGACTTACCTGATACCAAGATGATTGATCATTTTGATCGGCTTGGAAGTACATTGTTCTCAAGATTTGATTTCTGGCTGTCAGCTCTCTCGTGGTATCTTTCCAGAGCTGGAGATCGAAGTGTGGAGGGAGTTCTCGACAAGCAGTGAGATTCCAGAACTGTTGCTTCTTGTGCCCTTGAGTCAAGAACTCAATCTGACCAGCACCACAAGGATAAACATCCTCAATATATTGATGGAAATCGATGCCGGCATTTCCCATGGCCGATAACAATGATTGCGGAGTCTCATACTTGACTTCTGCGACGACTTTCTTCTTTTGTGCTGCCTTGAGATTTTTCGCCTGTTCTCGGAGAGTTGGGTTGGAGAGAATATGGGATACGGAGATGTTATAGGACAGCTTCCGACAGGCAGCAACAACATTAATGGCGGATATTGAGTCTCCTCCAAGACTGAGGAAGATGGAACTCGCACCGATTGATTCCTCAGGCTCGTCGAGAACCGACGCCCACGCCTCTCGCATCACCATCTCTTCTTCAGTTGAGGCATCCACGAATTCATCCGAGCCATTATCACGAGGCAGATATGTCGTAATCTCGGCATTCGTCATCTGCTCCGCAACTGCTATGAGGGCCTTCCTATTTGACTTTCCTGACGGGAGAGTTGGGAAACTACTGAAAGGCAGGAAGAGGCTTGGCACCATATAGTGCGAGAGTGTCGTAAGCCGAGATGAGAGGCCCATAATACGATCCGAGTAGTCGTCCGCTGGTAGCATTGCTGTGTTATTCGGAAGATGGTCGCCCTTGAAGATGCAGAATGCAACAAGCTGGCGCTTTCCGTGTACTTCAGCAACGGACACGATAGCAGCGTCGACTTCCTCAGTTACGAGGATTGCGTTTTCAATCTCACCAAGCTCAATACGGAAACCGTTAAGCTTGATCTGATAATCCTTTCGGCCGAGACATCTGTGGCACAGTTAATGGTAGATAATTGATGGGATGGGTATACGTACTCAAGGCTACCATCATCCGCCCATCGTGCCAAGTCTCCGGTTCTATATAGAGGCTCTCCATCTGTGTCGCGGACAAAGGCTGTAGCTGTTTGCTCTGGGCGATTGAGGTATCCCTTTGCAAGTTGCGGTCCGCGAACACAGAGCTCTCCCACAGTACCACGCGGTACAGGCTCCAAGTTACCAGCTTGGGGCGAGACAATGGTCGCTGTAACATGCTTCAATGGGTATCCGATACTGTTAAGACTGCCGTCTGGCTTTACATGCGAAACAGTCATTAGAATCGTGGCTTCGGTGGGACCATAGCTGGAATCTGGTTAGCCGTGCTGGGTACCTCGATCTGTCGAGGACACTTACCCGTTATAAACATCTATGCTTTGCGCCCAGTTCAGGATGTTCACATCAATTTTCTCGCCGCAGACATTCAGCACCTTCAGACCGGGCACTTCTGCTGGCCCACCAGAAATGAGCTTGGTAATTGTCGGTGTGAGCATCACCTGCTCGATCTCCATTTCGTTGATATAGCTGGCAAGGTTTGACAGCAGCTCGTCTTGTGGTGCAAGGCATAAAGTCGCCCCGGCGGAAAAGATGGTGAAAACATCATAATAAGAAGCATCGAAAACATAATTGAGGACCCACAAAGCATTCCAGTCGGAAGTCACCGCCGTGGCTTCAATCATACCCTCGGTCGAAGCAGTCACAGCTGAGTGCTGTACAAGGACACCCTTTGGCAATCCCGTTGAACCAGAAGTGTAGATTGCGTAAATTACGCTTTCTGGAGTGAGCTCTGGAATCACAGGGTTCTGTGAAGAGTCGGACGGGAGCTCCATGTCCTCGGTGATAATCATTTCAACACCAAACGATGCACAAGCGCTTCTGTTGTGTTCATCTGTGACAATTCGCTTCGCCTCGACATCTTTAACTATGAATGCGTTTCTATCATGCAGATTGAGTGGATCAAGAGGTGTGAAGGAAGCTCCAGCTTTAATGATGCCGAGGATAGAGATCAAGGTTTCTGTCGATTTTTCCATGTAGAGAGGAATCATCTCACCATGCTGGACACCTTCAGAAATAAGCCAGGCAGCAAAGCTATTGGCCTTTCCATTGAGCTCTGCGTAGGACAGCATCTCTCCTGAGGCAGTGCGAATCGCAGACTTTGACGGAGTAGAGGCTGCAAAAGACTCGAAAGCAGCATGCGCAAGTCCAAATTCTGGATATGATGTTATGACCCTTGGAATGTCTTCGGTCGAGTCTTCATTAGGCATCTGGGCTGCGACCCCCTCGGGATTGCCGATCATGCCACCCACGATTTGAACAAATCTGCCTAGTAAAGTCTCGGCGGAAAGCAAATCTGCAGCGAAAGGAACTAGCATCTTGACTGACGTTGGGTCTGTTTCGCTGATCTCAATGGTGATGTATCTAATTGCCGTGTCAGTTTGAACAATGATCGAAGAAATACAAAATGAAAGGGGACCACTCACTGCGTGAAATTGTCTCCGTGGGTAACAATTGGCACCAATGGACCAGCGGCGAGAGAATCATCTTGCTTGACAAGTATATTAACCATAGTGTTGAAATTACTTGGCTTCAAGGATCCCTCCGTCAGGGCATTTCGCATGCCAGAGTGGGCAAATTTGGATAGTATCCAAAGATTGCTTTGCACAGTCTTTGCAAAGTCCACTGCCTGCAGCGTCTCGTCTACTTGCACTCGCATAGGTACGGTATTGAGTGTCGGGCCATCCAGTGACAAGATTCCGTCTAGGTCGGCATCTCGTCCCGAAAATGCTGCGACGAAGGTTACGTCTCGTGTATTGAGTATCGAAGCAAGAGTTAGAGCCCAGGCGGCATGGATGAAAGCACCCATGGTTATACCATAATCGTGGCTATATTCTGTCAAACCATGGTCAATTGTGGATTTTAAGGCGAAAGGCTCAGTAGCCTGTGCACTAATCCCCAGATTAACGACGGTTGGCGTGGCCGACTGAAGATAGCCTCTCCAGAATTCCTTGGCCTTCTCATTGTGCGTGCGTTGCTGAAAGGCGACGTATGAACTGAAAGGCAGGCGAGGAATCGTTGGTTTCCCTTGCAAGACTGCAATTGTATCCTGGATAACGAATTGGCTGGACCAGAAGTCGAACAGGCTGTGGTGCATCTCGAGGAGAAGAACCTCTTCGTCAATCACGGTAGCTCTGATAAGAGGCTCATCGAGAGGCATTTCCTCTTTGCTTGATTCGCTCATGACACTGTCCAATGAAGCCCCTTTCATGACTGTCCAAGGGATTTCTGCGGTCTTCTTAACCGCCTGAACGAAGCTCCGTTTGTGTGGGTAAAACACAGTTCGTAGCATACTGCTGCGAGCTAAAACTTCATTCATTGCCGCCTCTACCTGAGAAGAGCTGACGCCCTGCAACTTATAAGTGCGCTGATAGACATAGTTGACAGTGCCCAAGATGGAGTCTGCCAGGATGCCCTCCTGAAGCGGCGTGACAGGATAAGCATCTTCAAGCCCCGCTAGATTAATCTTTGCTCCTTGTGGGAGTAAAGAGAAAGGCGCTGGCCGGGTGGTAATCTCCAAATTTGGCTCAGTTTGGCAATCAAGCATCTGCCTTATCGACCCGGATTGTAGGATATCCGAAACGGAGATGTGAATATCAATTTTTCTCAGGTTGGATGCTACAACAATGGCGTCCAGGGACGAGCCACCAAGCTCCTGGAATGAAACACTGAGATCAACCGTGTCTGGCGATATAGAGAGAGCAGCAGCAATTGCCTCGGCAATCTTGGCATCGGAACCGATTTCAAGTTTGTCATTGGCTTCTGCGAGTCGGAGTGATGCATGTGACGATTGTGGCGTAAGGATTGATGGCGTGATAGACAATGTGATCAGCTTGTTTGCGTCCATCGCTTCAACCGCCTTTTGGAGGCTGGATATGTCAACTTTCCCGCTCGCTGTGAGAGGCAATTCTTCGCGTTGAACCCAGTATCGAGGGATGGCATAATGAGGGAGCAGAGCTCCCAGCTCCAAGCGTATCTCTCTGATGAGAGACGCCCACTCTTTCCCTTTCTCGGGCACGATAACTCCAACTAAAGAGTTTCTATTGAGGACAACGGCCGACACGACACTGGATTGGACGACGCCAGGTTGGACCTGAATTATGAAGTTTGACTCGCTTGGCTCTACTCGTTGGCCGTCAATCTTTGTCTGCTGGTCGATTCTGCCAATAAGCTCGATTGTTCCGTCATCATTCTCAATGACCATGTCACCTGTCCGATAGAGGCGTCCAGCTCCGTAGGGATTGTTGATGAAGACTTCCCGAGTTTTCTCCGGAAGGTTAAGATACCCCTTGCCAAGTTGGTCTCCGCCAAGGCATAGCTCGCCAGGGGTCATTGGTGGCACGCGGTTGAGGGTATTCGGAGCAAGTACGATATATGTTGTGCCTGTGTCACGGTTAGTGAGAGCTTCATATCAAAAAGTACTCCGCATGTAAGGGGCATCATCCCCGAATGTTACGTACTGTCTGAGGGCATTCCAATAGTTCGTGCCGAATGACCGGGCTTCAGAAGATGTCGCATATTTAACTACTATTAGTTAGTATTCCGTCGTTTCTGCTCTAGGATTGGCACATCATACCTGAGTGCATTCGCTAAGACCATATGCACTGACCAGCTCGACCTTTCCTGCCCAAGTCTCAACAAGTTCCGGGCCGACGGCTTCGCCACCGAGTGTGATCCTTTTGATAGCTGAAGCCGCACTTGATGGATCGATGAGCTTGAGCATGCTTGGTGTAATCTCAAGTGACGAGATGCCCATTCCCTCGATGGTGTCGCTTAGATACAGGGTGATATTCTCTTTGCTGGCAAGGCATAATGTGCCACCACGGCATAGGGCCCCAAGGATGGTGCGCTGTGCGGCGCTGAAGATAGGAGAATGGCAGAGCAACTGTCTGAATGGTCGTGATGAATCCAAATCGGGGAGTGCAGATATCCCAGTATGGGCAGCGGAGTGCGGAAGAATGACACCTTTAGGGTGCCCAGTCGTGCCGGACGTGTAGATGACATAGGCGGTGTCTGACGGGTCTTGGTAATTGTTGACATTGGTGAGATATTTTGGGCTCATTGCCTGGGATACGGTGACAAGATGCTCGATAGATACTTCTTGTGTAGGCTTGAAGCTTCCTTCAGTTGTGGAATCGGTGATGACAAATAATGCCTTGGTGTCGTTAACAATAAACCGATTCCGCTCCGCAGGTGAGTCAGTTGAGAGGAGCACGTAGGCTGCTCCGGCCTTCAAAACTGCCAGTAAGGCAACAATCAGGTTTATAGACCTAGAGACGGCAATGGGCACAATGGTATTTTTGGCCCAAGACAACTGCCGTGCCATACCATTGGCAGTTTCGTTAAGCTTCTGGTAGGTCAGCTCATCTTGGTTCTCGAACTGAACGGCGATGGCATTCGGAGTCTTCTTGGCCTGTCTCTCAAACAACGAGTGGACGAGACCATCTGACCCAGCCGTCAAGGCTTCGATATCGGATGCGGAAGAATTGAGGGCTTTGAATATGTCCTCAAAGCCTGAGACTTGATCAAGCTCCAACTCAAGGAAGAGCTTGCGGCCCCTGAGAAACACCGTGGCAGGGGATCGCTGCACAACTTGAATAGCCATCTCGATTGCTAGTTAAAGTGAAAGGCAAAGAGAAGAAGTCAAAAGGCAAAGAGGAGAAACGAAATGAGATAAAAGTTGTGCTTGCTCGTGATTGATATTCTAGAACGGCAAAAGAGAGAGGATATATCACCGTTATATATTCTACAATCTAGACAACCCTTCCAGATAATCCACCCCGAAACGAACACCCCCACCTTCCTCATCGACAGCTGCAATATTACAGCCTCATCTTCAATAGGCCTTGCAGTTCGGCTCATGACTAGCAACATCCAGCCCAAAAGCGGTGCTGATGTGCTCGGGATGAGATGTCAGGTCAATCTGAGAATACGACAAATCGGCATTGGTGGCTTTCCATGCAAGCAAAAAGGGACATGGAGAGATCCATAGCCCCGCGGCTATTTCCCCGTCTGAGTAGATGCTCCGCGTAAATCCGAGTTAGCCAGCGTAGGAGGTGCGGGGATATTCCGAGACGCTGTAATCGATGGTAGCTGACCAGGCAGATTCAGCCCCTTGGGCTAAAAACGTGGTATGACTGCTTCAAGGTACCGAGATTGTGGTCTTAGAAATCACAGCCATTACGAGGCTTATAGCCCCTTGCTGTTTCAGGATCCAGTCAGAGCTGAGAGTTACGAATTCAGACGTAAAGAGGCAGACGGATAGGATGAGTCGCTGAGCCTTCACAGGGATGCCTTGATCTGGTAGAAGATTCGGCCAGAGCGCCAAGCTGGAGTGTAATACACGGCAAGCAACATAAGATGGGGGGTAAAACGTGTGACAATTAAGGGTTAGGCGCGGAATATACTAAGCTTCTCACTCCATCTTGTCCCGATAGAGGACCCGTTTATGCTCTGTGTGTGTGATGGCAGAGCGGCACACAGCGCCATAATCAACCCGTAGCTGACATCATGAGAAGAGATTATAGCAGGAATGAAAATTGGAACGCAAAGAGAAGAGAGGAAGGAACAAAGGACAACAGCTAGATTGTCCGGGGGCACTTTTGTGATCATTCTAGTAAACTTGCACAGAAACTGTTTGTACTTTGTAAGCATGTGTTCATGGAGTTGCTTTGTAATTTGTAATGTGGTGGATTTTGCCGAGACCACAAACAAACAACCACGACTTCACTGTGCTGCCCACCACTAACTACACTTCAAATATTCTCTTCTTTGTTCCTCTTTCACTTTATCCTAACTCTGCTCACTAAATAATCTAAGATCTTACATTCAAATCACACGTTTTCCAGACATAAATCAATTTCACCATTATTCACATTCACCATGGCCCAAGTTCTCACCATCGCAAGCGGCACCCAGGTGCCAGCTGTGAACTTCCACGCCCAACGATATTTTGTTGATGACCTCGAGGCCAACGAGGTTATCATCAAAATGCTCGCAGCCCCAATCAACCCCCTTGACATCCTCGTGCTCGCAGGCGTCTACCCGGTTAAGCCATCCCACACCCACCTCGACGAGCCCATCCTTGGCTACGACGGCGTGGGCGAGGTCCTCAAGGTCGGAAGAAGCGTCACCAGTCTCTCTCTCGGCGATCTCGTTGTGCCGAGCAAGTTCGGGACGGGCACTTGGCGCACCCATGCTGTGCTCGACGCTGCGTCACTCCAGAAGGTTACACGTCCTACGGACCTGGCTTTCGCATCTATCCTCCGCATTGGGATTGCCCCTGCATTCTGCCTCGTGGAGGACATGAGAGCCTTGAAACCGGGTGACTACATCATCCAGAATGCCGGAACCTCCCTCCTGGCTCAGTTCGTCATCCAGTTCGCACGCCGCCGAGGCGCTAACGTCATCAATGTTGTCCGGGACCGTGAGGCTTACGAGCTGGAGAAAGTTGAGACGGCTCTCCATAAGCTCGGGGCTGAAATTGTCATCATGGAGAGTGCCCTCGCCGGTGATGCCCGCGTTAAAAATAAGCGCATCACCCTCGCTCTGGACTCGGTCTTCGGGGCCTCCGGACGCGGGCTAGTCAAGGCTCTTGCCGTGGGCGGGACGTACGTGCATCTGGGCTTCCTGAGTGGGGCGGCAGGGGGTTCTGTCGCGATTGATCGCACGGATCTGTTTGCGCGGCAGCTGACGATGAAGGGGTTCCGTGGGACAGCGCAGGTGGGGCTGCGCTCTGCTGAAGAGCAGGTCGACCTGTTCAACTGGTTCGTGGAGCTGTTCAACAGCGGAGAGTTGCAGCTGCCCGCTCTTGGCTTACAGAAGGTGAAGTGGTCTGTTGGTGACCCGAAGGGGAGCAAGGGGGGGCTTCTCGAGGCTGTGGAGCGCGCCAAGAGCGGTGCTCTGGGGCAGAGAAAGCAGATCATTCTCTTCGAGTAGGGGTCTGCCAGATGGTTGCGGGACATAGATCGCGTGGCAAGTGCAGCCGAAGCGGGAGGGTGGGCGAAGCATGGAGGCTGGGACTCGGCGATAGTGAGACGGCAAGGGGCAGTGAATCGTTACACGTCCTTATGTTTTTATACTCGAGTAGCCGGTAATACAGAATTATGAGAGTGATATGTTTGCTCGTTTATAGCCGCACCGTGAATATGCCGCAAATGAATCTACAGCCGCTCCTGGAGTGTTCTACGTTCCAAAGATGAAAATCCAATCATCCCGCTACTACTCACTACTCACTACTGGTATACTTCCGACTGCTGGTAGCTCTCACTATTACCATTTCTACCTGTAAACGTTTCTTAATATGACCGTTTTGGTACTAATACCACCATGAAAAATGCCTTAAGAATAAGCCGTATTATTGTTGTTGTAGTATCATATGGCGCCGACGCCATCGCAGCTGCTTTCGTGATATCCCACTAAAATAAAGCTGTTGATTGTTAAGCTCTATTTTCTCACGTAATTAAGGCTCTGTACTACTATCTTTGTCCCGCTGCTTCTGGGTTTCCTCGTGTGACCCCCCCCGGGCCATAACAAAAGCCATACGCTCGCCATGCGAGGCAGTCTCCGCGTCAAGGATACGGCGAGAACGGCTGATAATCAGCCTGGCATCAGATATCCAATACGGCGTCTTTCAGCTCCTCCCCATTACCAAACTCCCCATGTGTAACTGTTCCGACAAAAGATCCTCGTGGCGCATGGGTAAAGCGGAGCAGTAGGTACGGGAAGTTGGATGTTGTATTCTCGATGACCGGGTGGGCAGATTTTCTTACTTTGTGTTTTTTGTGTCTCGTTACTGTTACTGTTACTTTGGAACGGAATGTAAACTCATCTGTCTCATAAAATAAAAAGTAAAAGTAAAAGTAAAAACAAAAACAAAAACAAAATCAATAAATCAATAAATCAATAAAATCCAAAAGCAACTAAACATCATCAACGCACAGCACTTGCGTTTGTCACATCACACCCCGCTCTACTCGGTAACACTGGCCTTCAACATGTCCTCCAACCCCTCCGGCCTGACCGGCTGATCATCATCAATTCTCAACCCATTAATGATCCTAGCAAGTGTGGAATAAGTCCCCAAAATAATGAGCACCTCCACCAACTCCGCATGGCCCAGGATCTCCACCGCATCCTTGATCGTGCCAGGGGTATTGGTGTAGGTCGCGAGCTGCTCATCCACAACTCGCAGGATTACGCGCTGGCGGGCAGTCCATGGGCCTTCGCCTTGGCGCACACTTAAGGCAGTGCAGCCGATGGCGGCGATCTTTTCTTCGCCCAAGTTGAAGATCTCGGCGACGGGGAGGTTGACGTCGTATTCATATTTTGCACCGAGGGTGGTGGCGGTGCGGAGGACGATGAGTTGCTGTTTCCGTTAACTGGTTCTTACCTGGTGTACAAGGTGAGAGGACTTACCCAGTCTAGCAAGGGGATCTTGCGAACATCCTTGTTGAAGCAACCGCCGATAAGCCCCATCATGTGTGGGAACAAGCCGGGGGAGTGCGCCAAAAGAAGGAAGATATTGCGACGGAAGGGCAGGACATTGATCTTTTCGGCGATGGCGGGCGGTGCTGTGGCAGCTTCGACATAGGGGACGAGGCAGGTGTGGCGGAATGGGTCAGGGCGGGGTTCAGTGGGGGCAGACATGATTGCTAGTTTTCGTCGTAATGGAGAAGCTGGATGGGCTGAATTGGAACGGGAGAAAAATCAGACTTCAACAGTTGATATCTGAGGAATCATGCAGAGGCAGGAGGGAATAGCCAAACTTATCTGCTGAACGCGTCTATGCCGAGTGAGTTGTCGATTACCAACAACAAACCACAACATTCCATGGTTCTCTGATCTCTGTATACCTTGCCCGATTCTCACTCATCACCAACACATAATCCGGCCATCTCCATCCCCAGCCCTTCCTCCCGACTCCCGGCATCTGCGTCATCCCAACTCGCCGCTTACCGAGCAGTGCAACTTTGCACCACATCGCGCATACATGCACGCCCGGAAAAGATACGAAGATAATCACGCATTTGATAATACCCATTTCTAAGCTTGTTGAACCCTCCCCCGTCTTTCGCTTTACCTACGCTCGGAGATAGAGACGGGGTTGGAAAGGCAGACATGCGCGAGCAGGAAGATTCAGCCGGGGAGTGGAGCGCGGTTCGCCTTGGATGGCTCAGCTCTGTGTGACCATCGGTTTTTAGAGATTGGTGAATGCGAGGTTTGGGAAGAAGGCATGTTTTATTTTGAAGAGGGCTGATTTACGTGTTTGACTATGGCTGAAAGGGAGAATGGCTACTGCAGAGATGGGGCGCATTGGAGTTTGTTCAAGAATGCACGAAAGCCCGCAATTTTTGAAGTTAAGATCTTCAAGCTCACTGTCTTCTATCTTCTTCAACATCTATCTTTTACCCCTCATCACATTTCATATTCTGAGGGCGCCAACACAGCATACAGAATGGAAAACTCCACCCCCCCCCCTTCCTCCCTCCACAACAGCTACTCCCACCGCCTCCCCCACCTCACCTACCTCACCCCCCTTCTCCGCCCCTACATCTACATCCCCCTCCTCCTCACCGCCTACATCCTCTACCACCGCTACCTCACCGGGCTTTCCCACATCCCCGGACCCTTCTCCGGCACCTTCAGCAACTTTTGGAAAATCAGCGCGGCATGGCATGAAGAGATGCCAAAGCGCAACATTGCCGCGCATCGCAAGTACGGCCCGCTTGTCCGTGTGGGTGCAAATATGATTAGCGTCGATGACCCAGCTGCGATGTCAACTATCTATGGGTTTAAGCCGATTTACTCGAAGACGGCTTTCTACCCTATCGTTGAGGCGCTGTATAAAGGCAAGCTTCTCGCGAACTTGTTTACCACGCGCTCGGAACAGTACCACGCACGCCTGAAGCGCGCGTCGGTGACAGCATACTCCATGACTGCCCTCGCTGATCTCGAGCCGCACGTGCAGCCCGTTATTGACCTTTTCCTGAAACGCATTGACGAGGTTGGCGCTGGTGGCACGAAGGCCTTCGATATTGGGTCTTGGCTGCAGTTTTTCACCTTCGATGCTCTAGGAGAGATCAACTTTTCAGAGCAGCTTGGGTTTCTGGAGACGGGCACGGATGTGGGGAAGAGTATTGGCACGATTGATGGGCTGTTGGCGTATTTGTCGGTTGTGGGGCAGGCACCGTGGATGCATCGCTTTTTGCTGGGGAATCCAGTGTTGCCGCATGTATTGCCGCTGGAGAGTAGTAATGAGGTTCAGAATGTAAGTCCCCACCTCTTTCCAACCTCGCTCACAAAACCCCCACTCAAATAGTTACACAAGCTAACACCCACCAGTTCGCCATCAAAATGATCAACAAACGCAAATCCCCCTCAACCACAAAACCCCACCGCGACATCCTCGCCCGCCTTCTCGAAGTCTCCGAAAAAGACCCCTCCAAACTCACCTTCGAAGAAATCATTGCCCTCACAACCACCAACCTCATCGCCGGCTCCGACTCCACCGCCATCGGTCTCCGCGCAATCCTCTACTTCCTCTGCCGCACCCCCCGCGCCCACTCCCGCCTGCAAGCAGAGGTCGACGGGGCCTTCGACAGCGGCGCTCTCACGTCCCCTGTCAAATACGCGGATGGTACGAAACTCCCTTACCTCAATGCCGTAGTCACTGAAGCGCTGCGCGCGCACGCGGCGACGGGGTTTGTGCTGGAGCGCGAGGTACCGGAGGGGGGCGTGACGATCTCTGGGCAGTATATCCCGGCGGGAACAATTGTGGGGGTTAATAGCTGGGTGATGCATGCGAATAAGAGTGTGTATGGGGAGGATGCGGAGAGTTTCCGGCCAGAGCGGTGGTTGGATGAGGAGAATGAGGGGGAGGCGTGGGAGGAGAGGGTGAGGGAGATGAAGAGGTGCAATATGGCTGTGAGTGGCTCGTCTCGTTTGTTTGTGTTACTGTTTTTTTTGGGGCGGCTATAGGCACCCATTCTCTACCTTGGCTTGGTGACACAAGGCTAATATACCCCGTCCAGTTCGGAGCCGGACCTCGCGTCTGCATCGGTCGCAACATCTCTATGATGGAGATCATCAAGTTCATCCCTGCGCTAGTTCGCATGTACGACTTCCGCCTTGCCGATCCCGAGAAGGAATGGAAGGTGCTGGGCCACTGGTTCACGAAGCAGAGTGGCATGGATATGATTTTTGTGGAGAGAGTGCATGCCTAAACTCGGACGGTTGCCGCTGCTGTTATGTGTTCTGTTTTGGATGTTGGTATTTGTCCTCTCTATATCTCCGTTTAATGAGTGTTATTGTCGTTGTATAATACATATTTTAAAGTAACTTAGTAGGGTCTCCTCGCCATGTCAGACGCATGATAAGCCAGAATCGCAGACGTACGTGGCGTGCTTTCGGCCGTTCGGTGCATGTTCGGCGTTACACCATCACTGCTCCATGCATGCACGTACGAGTACCCGATCTGTACTCATTATGAAACTCGTTCCGCCGTGTTAATGACAGGGAATAGAGCGGGGAAGGAAGCGGGGAAGGAAGCGGGGATCTCCCACCTCGCCTACCCCTGTTTGAATATCCCTGCTGTGCCACGTTGAGGGCTTATCAATCAATTTCTATAAACCCCCCCCCTCCCTTCGTTCTTTCATCTCACTTTATATATCAGCCGTTGTGCTACTCTACCAGCCACAGCCTACCCCATCGAGGGACGACGAGGAAGGACAAAGCTGGCTGGAAGTACGAAGGATGATTAGAAATCAAATAGGTAGACGTAGATAATCACACGCCAAGGACATGAGATCACGGCGAGGCTGAGCAATTCGCTTGGTGTGCGCGCAGTTACATGTCAGCTACTGGTTACTTACCTCTGGGCTGAAGAAAAATAACGCGAATGCCTTTGCTTCTCATAAGGAACTAAGAGTCTATGTTTGTGTGGTTGTCTCTTTCTCTTTCTTATCCAACTTTCTTCATTGGCGCATTCTTTCCTGTTTGCTCCCTTACTCCCCGTCACCGTCACCGTTCGTGCTTTACTTCTCTTCTCTCGTTTTCCTCCCGCCCCCTTTCTTCTTCACCTCTCACCCAACCTCTCTTAACACGGCATACCAAACACTCACCGTCACAATGGTTTCCCCAAATCCCACCGAGAAATCCTCTATCCACTCCCTCCCCATCCCTGGCGCTGACGCAGACATCGAGCAAGCACCCGAACCTGAATCTCCTCCCACCGGCCGCCAAATCCACGGTTTCCAATGGTTCCTCGTCATTGTCGCTGTCTTGAGCAGCATGTTCATGTACTCACTTGACGGCACCATAGTGGCTGATCTCGTGCCCTCCATCGCCAACGAGTTCCACGCTGTGCCGCTCCTCCCATGGCTCTCCGTCGGTTTTATGGTCGGTTCTATTGTCACCGTCTTGCCGCTGGGGAAGCTCTACGGAAAATATAACGCCAAACACTTATATCTCATCTCCGTCGTGCTCTTCCTCGCAGCATCGGCACTGTGTGGTGCCGCACCGAATATGAGCGCGATGATTGTGGGCAGAGTGTTGCTTGGCATGGCGGGAAACGGAATCTACTTTGGCATTTTGACGCTTCTGAGCGTGCACACGGGTGATACGGAGCGCCCAACTTATCTCTCAATGGTCGGTCTGATTTGGGGAGTTGGCACGGTCCTCGGACCTGTCGTTGGCGGTGGGTTTGACAAAGTCAATTGGCGATGGGCGTTCTACCTGAATCTCAGTGAGTCCCTCCCTTTACTTTCAATCTGGGAAACAACAACATCTAACATTCCACAGTAATCGGCGGACTATTTGCCCCCGTCTACGTCTTCCTCCTCCCCGCCTTTGACCCGTCCCCGTCTACCTCCTTCGTTGCCCGCGGTAAGAACTTCGACCTCCTCGGCGCCACCCTCTCTATCGCCTCAATCCTCAGCCTCGTTATGGCCATCAACTTCGGCAACGCCCTATACTCCTGGGACAGCGCTCCCATAATTGTCCTCTTTGTCCTCGCTGGCGTTCTCCTCATCCTCTTCGCCATCCAGCAGAAACTCGCCTTGTTCACGACAAAATCAGAGCGTATGTTCCCCGCCCACCTCCTCCGCAGTAAGGAGGCCTGTCTCCTCTTTATTGCGGCAGCTGGATGCAATGCTGCGGGATTCCTGCCAGTCTACTATATCCCTGTGTACTTCCAGTTCTCTCGTGGCGATAACGCTTTGGAGGCTGCGGTGCGGCTGTTACCGCTGATCATTGTGTTGAGTGCAACTATTATGGCGCAGGGGTTCTTCATGAGCAAGCTCGGGTATTATCAGCCCTGGTATCTTGTTGGTAGTGCGCTGTTACTGGTGGGGGATGTGTTGCTTTGTGAGTTTACCTGCATGCGTATCTGTTGCTCTAGCTAATGATTGCGATAGCCCGCATTGATGAGAATACGAGAGTTGCCAACATCTACGGATACGAGATTCTCGTCGCCATCGGCGCTGGGGCCTTCATCCAGGCTGGTTATGCGACAATCCAGACTGTCGTCCCAGCTTCTGACACCTCATATGCCATTGCGTGAGTTCTCTCTCATTCCCTTCCCTACCATTATCCCACACTAGCTCTCTCGCTAACACGTCCCAGCTTCATGATGCTCGCCCAATTCATCGGCATCGTCTTCGGTCTCTCCATCGGTGGCGCAATCTTCATCAACACCGCTCTGTCCTCCCTTCGTTCTCTCCTGCCTCTTCTCTCGGAAGCAGACCTTCGCGTCGTGATCAGCGGCACCAGTTCAAATGCCATTGAGCTTATCCCTGTGGCGCTGAGGGATGACGCGGTGGCAGCAATTGTGGGGAGTTTGAGGAAGTTGTGTGTAATTATTTTTCGTACCCCCCGAATTATTACTATGAAAGAAGGAGGCTGATGTGGTCATGTAGGTTTATCCCAGCGTATGTGGCTGCGGCGGTGGCGCTTGTGGTATCGGTGTTTATCAACGTGGGTTCTCTCCAAACTATGAACTCTTATCCCCTGTCTATTATTTATCTAACTAACAACTGCAACAGCGCGGAAAAGCTTTCCATGCCACAAGGGCAAGCAGCTAGTCGGTAGATATATATACGTATGTCATTGATTTGATGTGTTTGTATGGGGAAGAAGACGTAGGGATAAAGATGGAGGGGTTTGCAGTATTTACTGAGGTTTACATTTCAAACCTGTGTTTTCGTTTTTCCTTTTGTTTTTATTTATTTTGTGCTTCGATTTCGAGAGTATGTGGGAATGGGGCGTTTAAGCGTATAGAATAGACAGTGCGAAAATTTACCCATTTGCTTTTCTATAAATTACTACGGAAGGCTGGCGAGCAGGTGCAAATGGCCAAAGGGGAAGACTCATTGTAGTAGAGCTTTCCAGTACTGCTGCTGGTGTTTCTCGATGATGTTATTTACTTATAAGTAAGCCCTGTTGATCTGAGAACTGTGATCCCAGCAAGGTAATTTTAATTACGCTATTCCTTAGCTACTACATGAGACGTGGCGACGCCGTCGGACGTGGCGACGCTGTCAGACGTGGCGTGACTGGATACTTCGTCTGAGGCGAATATGCCTTCTATAACCACTACAACTATTTGACTCGGTCGTCACAAGTTAAATCTCCAACAGTTACGGGCGGACCGACGTTTATATTCTGCAAAAATGTCCGAAGAGTCTGCGCCAGAGGCCAGACGGCAAAGCAGAGGTCAAGGGGAAAGTCGGCCTAGGAGCGATGCGACTTCTTTGTGCTGTTGTCGTTTGTAGCTGCTGTTGTCGTTGATATACCGGGCTTCAGTATTCTCATTAATCAACGTCGCACTGCTTTCGACACGGTAGGCGACAGCATGCTCTTCAGTCTAAACGCGACATCGTAAAACCGTCCGATGAGTCATTAGTAATAGTAGTAATTATTAATAGTGTCTGCTCTTGCTCGCTCCCTTCTCTTTGGCCTCTCAACTAAAGCTATTTCTATAGGAATAGCTAGGCCTGAAAGTTATCACAGTCATGTTTATCACTATGACAGTGTATACTACACACCAACACCTCTTTGTACTACACTGCTCTTTACATTGACATGATACTCCAACCCGTGCACTTGTAGAAGCTTCTCTAGCTACAAGCCCTAGCGTTACTTGCTTTATAGAAGTAGGAATATTAATATTAGACCAAAGAGCTTGCTCTACAGTTTAGAGCGATTTTGTTAGTATAAGGCGTTGTATAATACTAGAGAGTGTTAGAACTTAATATCAGTACAGAGTAACGTGGTTGTACACCGAGTCGTGAATGTCACCGAGTCGTGAAACTTTTTTATACCCACCACTGTAAGGTATAATTAAACAACCACAACATGTATTAAAACTAAAACTATTCAGAATCTGATGAGCCAAGTACTTCTATGACCTCCTGACAAGTTCGTGCATTATGGCCAGCCCCCCCGCAAGTGCCACAATGTCGTACACCTGGTTGCCCCTCATTCCTACCAACCCCTCCAGAGCGCTTCTCGCGATTTATTTGCTCCGTAACTGCCCTTTGGGACAAATCATCATGTGCATCCCCTACAGAAAGTGCACACCCTTGACGGACACGAGACTTTTTAGCCCTCCGGCGTTTGCTAAGAGCTTCGTTTGCTGCTCGAAGGGTGCGGACTTCAGCTGACAATAAAGTCATTTCATGTGCCAAAATCTCTGTCCCTTTAGCTAATGCAGTAACAGTAGCAAAAATGGGGGTTGGCGAGCTTCCTTGGTGCCGTGCAATGCAATTTTTAACTAGAGTAGTCTGTGAGAGAGCATCTATTGGGTTGCGAGGCGTTTGAGAAACCCAAGGATCAGCGTCTATAGAGGGGGGTCCTGTAGGTGTAGGAGTCCGCAACTTGACGTCTAGCTTTGAAATGATTACTTGCGGATCAAAGGGCACTAAACCAGCTCCGCGAAATCCAGCTTTGGCGTTTTGAGTTGTTATTGACTGGTTATAAGCTGCGTGGAAAGCTATAAAAAACTCAACCTTTGTAATATGGTTTATATGAGCCTTAATAAAGGTCTCAATTTGACGCCCATACATGCGTTTAAGAACACTAAAGCACCCAACATCAAGTGGCTGAGTTAGGTGAGACGAGTGAGGAGGTAGACAGAGAGTTATGATGTTGTTTGCTTTGCAATATTCCTGAAACGCAGCTGATTCGTGACTTTCATGCCCGTCTAAAACCAACATCCGATATGGTCCTTTTGCACGACTGCAAGTATGTTTATCAAAATGATGAAGCCATTCTAGACCTGTCTCGTTGTTGGTCCATCCATTGCTTGTTGGTTTAATTACCCAATTGTGAGGAAGGCCGCCTTCAGTATACCAACTTGAAAGGTGACATTTCCCTTGAACTACTAAAAACGGAGGGATACTCCCGCCTTCAGCATTCACACAAACAATTGCTGTAGCCCATTCCCGATTGCCAGGCTGAACTGCCTTGCCTCTGCCACGTCGATCGGCGCGCGTAACAACTAAAGCTGAGCTAATAACGCCCATCATGAAGCCCGTCTCGTCAAAGTTGTAGAAATCACAGTCTTGGATGCCGTACTTTGCTCTCATGTTCTGCACAAGTTGAAACCACGCTCCAATAAGCTCAGGATCTTCGCACAAGGCTCTTTGAAAGTCATAAACGCGATTAAAATGCGTCTTTAACTCGGGGCGGCGTTGTATAAATTGATATGCCCACCGCGTCCCAACGTGCTTTCCCCACGCGATTCAAGGATATAATTTGCCATATCCTCCACACTAGCAGGCCGAGGTGCAAATCCTCTTGCATCCATATCCAATATATTTCGAATAATCACTTCCTCTTCTAGCTCAGTCAATTTATGACTATTCGCTTTGGTTTCGCGTCGAGAAGGTCGGCCGGCCATTCTATCAGTAAGCGTAGAATAAGGCACTTTATATAGTATTGATGCAGACCTGCGATTAAGCGATTTACATGTTTGAAGAGCCTCAATAGCTAGAATGATTCGCGCTTCTTGGGTTTGGATTTCCATTGGTAGTTGTGGAGGAAACGCATGTTGAAGTTCGTAGGTAGCTAAGTAGGGAAAAGTTCACGACTCAGTGACATTCACGACTCGGTGTACAACCACGTTAATGCTCTTCTAAAATGCGTGCAACGAGCCTCTTATTATCAGTTAAGGTTCTATCCTCTTGAGGGACCTTCATAGAGACTATAGCTCTAATATCAAAGTGTTAGATATCATGCTTCTTTGTATACTTGCATATCATAGAAACCCTGGTTCTTTGAGTAGCTGCTTGTAAGGATGCCTGTCCCTCAGTGACGGAAAGGATCTGAGTCGGGCAGGTTACGGTCACTTGATAAGAGTTAAGGCAGGTTAGCCGAGTCGGACCCGTTTCAGGTACTTGAGGAGATTGACCCAACGGGGGTTCCTCTCCCTCAGTGATGGAAGGTATCTGAGTCGGACAAGTCATGGTCACGTGGTGAGGGTGAAGGCAGGTTAGCCGACTCGGACCCGTTTCAGGTACTTAAGGAGATTAACCCAACAGGGGTTCCTCTCTTCATCTTTTTTGTATCCTTCGTAGTAGACCTATAGGATAGCATCTGTTTAGCCTCCGACTCGCACTCCCATATGCTATTACTGTGAGCTGGGTGCCCTGTGTCCTTACACTGCTATAGCTTTCTCAATTATAGGGCCAGGAAGCTTAGTCCTAGGCTGACCTAGCACTCGAGCCTAGCTCCTACGCTAGGGCTTAGGCTTAGGGCTGAGATCAGAGCCCGAGAGCTCAATTCCGAGCTCTAGCTCAGCCTAGGATTGAGCTCTCACTGTTACGATATCAAGTGCGCCTTGCAGCTCGAGTGGGGGTTCAGGGGTGTGGGGAGCTTTCCGGGGTTGGAGCGAAGTTTTCAGTTGTGGAGTGAATTCTCAGAACTGGTCTCGCTAAAGAGAATTCACTCCACAATAGCTGTATATAGATCGAGCCACTGCTCGAGTGCTCCTCTTCTCTTTCCTTTCTTCTCTAGATTGAGTTTAATTCATAATACCCAACTGGCGCCCTATGCCTTGGTGAACCGTGACATAAAACTCAATCTCTCTTATACCTCTTTTCCTGCTCTTTGAGCTGAACCCTCTTCTGAAATCGAAATCGAAATCCACTCTTTGAAAACCCCAGAACCAGAAACCTTATCCTGAAGTCGATTCCAGGACGATCTCGAGGCAACCTCTCAAAGTTGGCTTTCGACAGTCAGCTCGACACACACACACCACCTTCGCAAGTCAGACCTTTTACAACGCTCCCTCGACAAGGATATAACTGTGAGGGAAGTGCGCTCCTCTCGAGTGGCTCCTACAGCCAACAACTGCACAATAGGGCCTTTGGCAATATGTGTCTGACTTGACGATATAAACCGAAATTGAAATAGCAACTCGCTATGGCTTATACAGCTGAAGAAAAAGCTGCAATGGCAGCTCGAAATGATCCAGAACAAGACCAGGAATCCCTGGCAGAAGGAGCATCAATTCCAAGCTCTGCAAACCAAACCAATGAACTTCATGATCCTAATTTCAAATCCAAAACCTTCCTTCACACTCTGGGCAAAACAGCTCAAGAGAGACATGAATCTATACTTGCAAATCGACATGAAAAGGCTGAATGGAATGTTGAAACCTTTGACGAATTCCAGAAACTATCTGTCGCCAACCAGAAAATGGCATGGACTTTGCACAAGAACATTCTTCGGGACTATTTGGCCCTAGCAGAGGACTCAAATTCGATACTGGCTGAAAAGGATGATGCCATTCTCCAGTTACAGGAACTGATCCAGAGCAACGAGCAACAAATCACAGAGCAACAAACAATTCAGAAATATCTTGAAACGCAAACCCAACAAGCTCTGAAGAATGAACCAGGACACCACTCTCACAGTCGACTGTCAGCTCGGATTCCAGACCCTCCAATCCTCACAGATGGGATAGAGCCAGCATTTGAAGACTGGGTTGTGAAAATTCGCCTCAAGCTCGAAGCCAACATTGATCATTTTCCAACACAGACTTTACAAATGAGCTACATTCAGAGTCGACTGGGAGGACTGGCAGTTCGACATGTCAATCCAAGGCTTCGACCAAACTCTACAAACAAATTGCAGACAGCAGAAGAAATTCTTGAAGTTTTGGAAAAAGTCTTCAGTGATCCCGATCGAAGGCACACAGCTCAAACTGAGTATCGAAAGCTGTATCAGAGAAACAACACCTTTGCAGTGTTCTGGGCTGAGTTCCAAAGGCTCACGACAGAGCTTGATTACTCTGAAGAAACTTTGCTGGATGACT